GAGATGGCCATCTGCTAACAATAACATGCTGAAGCTCACGGCCACGATGAAATATCCGACATCACGAACAAAGCTTCTTCGAGCAACTTTGAACGGGCGGACCAGCGCCATTGACCCTGCAACGACCGACGTGATAAAGCTCGCAGCTCCAAGCAACTCCCCAATTGCCAAGCTACCGCTGTTAGATTTCATGGCGGCGAAGGTAGAAAAGACATCCGGACTTCCGTTTCCAAACGCAAGAAATGTGACGCCAGCCAAGCTTTCGCTCAAACCAAGTGCGCCGGCTAAAGTGCTCAAGTCGATACATAGGAAATCACTGGCGGCAATCCCGATTGTACTAAACAGCAGTGAAAGCCATAGGATAAGGATGGTGAATGCGAAGGGCTTGGCACCTGCGAGAGAGCAATAATAGAATTGGAGATACGAAAACAGGCCATCTTCATGGTCAGGGCAATTCGTACGAACATAAGAGCACTTGTCGTGTGCTTTACGGACCATGCGGCACTGGAGCAGAAAATGAAACGTCTTAGCAAATCATCCTCATGAATTCTTATGGATAATGAAAGCAACTATTTGTGATACCTCTAGATCAGTGCCTCTCTTGAAGATACCCTGCCTGTCGGAACCCCCTCCTCGCAGAAAATGGTTGACAGGAAACGTAATCCCCTCATCTTCATATGATCCAAGAATCCAGCTAAGAACTGCCAAGGTCGTGATCACCATGAGAGTCCAGTAGAAAGGTCGAACAGAATAAAGCCGGCCTGATGGGCGGCTTAAGACTGGAGAGAGTATTTCAGACATGGTGTAAGACACGACAGCATCATGGGCAGGGAAGTGAAAAGTCACAGCTTGGCAGAAAAGGCAAGGTAGTGGTTCAAAACGTCGAAATCTCGGCGATGGTTAACAAGGCCGCAAGGGGAACGTGCATATGGTTATGTAGCTACTATCAGTGTAGATTGAAGAGGGGACTCCACGCGGCAAGTCACTAGCCACTCATTGATGTCAACCTAAGAGGAGAAAGTGGCTCGCAAGTGGCCACTTTTTAAATTTTGGTTGAGGCTAAGGCGCCTTGCCTTATCAAGCCTAATACTATAATGGGTTGAATGTAATATCAGTAGTCGGGTAGGTATGAAAAAGGAACGACAAAGATACCATATTAAGCAAGAGCATAATTATACTGAAAGAAAGCCAAGTACAACAAGATTAAAAAAGAAAAGAAAAGAAAACCACCACTTGAAGAACTGAACTGCTATCTCTATCACGTGCATTCCAAGACAGTTGTTACATATCATGTGACCTGATCATCCGCTTAAAGAAGCTAGACAAAGACCTGCACTCCTGGTTGCTCTGGTATGGTGTATGTTTTTGTTGACTCTCATTTGTTTGTTCTTGTTGGCCAGAGAGGGGAACTTTGCTGTATTTAGCACATCGCGACAGGATTCGGCACGCAACAGTTAATCGTCTACAAAGAATGAGTATCTTAATCTGTCGCTGCTGTGTTGTTACTTAATTTCCTTTTCTTACTTTCACTCTTCTTACCGCCATATCTCTGTGATTCATTGGATAATATCACAATGCCCCGCGTAGCGAATCCTAAGCACCGCCGCTCTGGTGGTGGCGCTTCTACCCCCCATAAGAACTCACCTATTAAGTGCGTTTTGAAAGACCTGGTCTGTCTGTACTACTTTAGGAATATTGGAAGCTGATAAACTAAGAATCCCGCTCAACGATGACATGGGCGAAAAGGCGGCTCGTATGGAAGCCCGACAGGCTCGCCATGACCGCCAGATGGACCAGATCAAAGCCGCTGTCAAGACGCCTATGCCTCCTCGAAGATACACTGGCCATGAGCGTGGATCCAGCATGAGCCCGGTCACACCGCGTGGATCGGGACACAGAGGCCGCGAGAGTGATGTCGACGGTCGGAGAGCGGTAACCCCGATGAAGCGTGTACCTATCTTAGCCAACTTTGAGGAATGGATGAAGATGGCGACTGATAACAAAATCAACGCAAATAATTCATGGAATTTTGCCCTTATTGACTACTTCCATGACATGTCCTTGCTGAAGGAGGGCGATGGTGTGAACTTCCAAAAAGCTAGCTGTACGCTCGATGGGTGCGTCAAAATTTATACGAGCAGAGTCGACAGTGTTGCGACGGAGACCGGCAAACTTCTGAGTGGCTTGGCCGATAGTCGCGATAGAAAGCCCCATGAGACAGGTGTAGGTGATGGTGCTGAGGATGAGGACGAAGGAGAGGAAGGGATGGAAAGAAAGTCCCGGCGGAAGGTATAACAACTCGTGCGATCCAGTCAAGTGGTAAAAATAGCTAACCTATTCCTTAAAGGCGCAACGATCTCATGAGGCTACACTTGCACCCTCATTTGCCTCACTCCAACTGAAGAAGTTCGAGCTTGAATTTTCTGTCGACCCACTATTCAAAAAGGCCTCAGCGGATTTTGACGAAGGCGGTGCGAAAGGCCTACTATTGAATCATTTAGCAATTGATGGGCAAGGGCGAATAGTTTTCGACAGCAGTGATGATGCCACAGAAGAGACCTTGAAAGATGTAGATGATATGCGCCAAGGGTCAGAGGATCCTCAACGCCCAGGATCTTCGTCGCCACCTCCAAGGCAATCGTCTGGCGATATATTCGAAGATAATGTGGAGGTTGACATAATGTCCTTGGCGAACCAGTTTTTCCCAGATTTGGAACGTCTTGAAATGCAAGATATCTGCCCATCGCTGAAAAACTTTGATCTTGGCGACCCGAGCGGGTCGTTGGATATACCGTTTCTCAAGGCTCCCGAAGACTGGCGTAATGACAAGGGCCATGAGGAAGGGCACAATCCGAATGATGCATCTGGAATCATGCTCGATGACGATAATGCTGTTGGCTTTGATGATGACGATGCAACGTTGGCAGGCTTTGATCTTGGTGGAGACACTGGATTTGGTGATGGTGGTGAAGCATGGGCTCGTGAAGCTGCTTTGGAGCCGATGCTTAAAGTTCACCGTGTCGATCGGGACAATGATGAGATTCAGGATGGTGAAGAGATAGACAATGACGATGTATATGCCATTTCTCTTACTCATCAGCCTAACAAGCAGGACCATGAAAATATCCTCAGCTACTTCGATAATGCCCTACAAAAAAACTGGGCAGGCCCCGAACACTGGAAAATTCGCAGGATCAAAGAGCATGCTGCGGCGAATACTGCCACCGCTGCCCCAAAGCAACGGAAGGAAAAAGAGCCTTTTGAAATTGACTTTTCTGCGCCTTTAGAATCGTCCGTTGCAGAGTTGTTGTATACCCCAGCAAGCTCCAACTCCACCATCTCCTTGCCTAAAACACAATGGAAGACAAAGGGCCGTAATCTTCTTCCAGATGATAAACACTTCAATTCGCGACAGTTGCTTCGCCTCTTTCTCAAGCCCAAAGCCAGGATGGGCTCGAGAAGACTAGTCGGTACTCGGCAATTCAACCAACGCAGGGAAGACCGGACAGGAGGCAATGGAGAAATGGATGAAGCATTCTGGGCAAACCATAAACCAGAGAATAATGCAGCTTCTGATGGAGAAGGCGCCCCCGGCGCATACGATGCAAATTTCTTCGCAGATGATGATGGTCTTGCGTTCCCCAACGGCCTTGGCTTGGGTGATGATGATGATGATAACCTACCCTTTGCGGATGCTAGAGAGATGCTCTCTCCGCCATCCGATGGACGGCCAGGAAACCCAGCAGGGGATGCTGGGGGTGCTTCGGGACTTACAGCGCTCCTTAACATGGTGGGCGCCACACCTGGTTCGGCGTTACAGAGCGGAGCCGGAGGATTCGGGTCACAGCTAGTAACACAAGGTGGTCGGAGAGCACGCCCTGACTACGTTGCATATGCCCGGGTGGCCAAGAAAGTTGATGTTCGACGACTTAAAGTGGAGATGTGGAAGGGTATGGGTGAGCGCTTAATCGCATCAACAAGTTTCGATTCCCAAGAAAGCCCACATCGAGAACAACCCACTGAGACTGGGGCTGATGATCCACCCACACATGTGAACGAGATGCAGCAGGAAAATGGCCAACTCCGGTTTACGCAGATCATGAATTCACTCAAATCTGTCTACCCTTCAGAAACGTTACGTGACATCAGTACCTCGTTCGGGTTCATTTGTCTGCTTCATTTAGCCAATGAACAGGGTCTCATGCTGCAGAACGATGATGGTTCTAGTGGGCTTGGTGAAGGCAGGCTAGAAGATATCTTTGTCATAAAGGATGCGAATGCAGTTCTTGAAGAGGGGGCTATATGATGAGACTAGCGTCTATTGTTTATATTAAATTTACAGTCAATTTCTTGTTACAGAGTTATAGGGTGTTCATGAGGAACGAGATATAGCTCAGGGTCAATGCTCGAGTTTATGTTACAAAGGAGTTGGGGCTCGTACTTTATACTAGGTGGTATTTGTGGTTTTAGCTCTATTTGAATAGTCTGATATTTACATTGGTTAATCACAATCCTGGCGGGAGCACATTCGCTGGTTGGTCCTTTTTCTTTCCATATACTTCTCCGACTTTCCTTTATCTACTTTGGTTTGGTGGATGTCCTACTATACTACTTTTGTTGGGCCTATGTTTCTGTACAATACCTTCGGGATATACGGACAAAGCAGCAGTCTCCCAAATTCCAAGTACACTCATTTAAGAGGCATCGCAATATTGTTCCTTCGATCCATATCGATGTGGCGGACAGACGCACACAGTACGCTCGCTATATAGCAGTAGATGAACACATGCTATCTCATTGAATGAGAGAATATACGAAACCGGTTGTAACTCTCGAAACAGCCCCCCAAATAACGTGCAGCTATTTGAAATAAGACAACAGTAAATAAGATTATCCTCGAGAATAAATACAATGCGTCAGTCTCCGCATTTCAAGGCTTTGTGCGCAGGCGCATATGCACATTTCAACCATTGATTAGTGCTATTTAGATGTCGAAATCATTAATGGGAGGCATGAGGGAACGTGGGCGACATTGGACTTGAATACGCCATTGGAATAGGCACAGCATCGTAGGTCCGTTCGCCAGGCGCAGCAGTCATGTGTTGGTTAACATTTGCTGCCGGCCCAAGAGCAGTAGGAACGGAACTAGGGCCAAAGAATTCCCTCTGATCCGTCTTAGGAGTCGCTTGTTGTACACGGATTGGAGGTGCTTGCAACTGGAAGGTCGGCTGGGGCTTTGTTGGAGACCGAGGCGTGGCAAACTGGGTGGAGCATGATTCGCCGTTCTCAGCAATTGAATAGGGATCTTGCGGAACAGTCGTAGATATTATAGGCGTCTTTTGGGCGAGCGGAAATCCAGGTGTATTGGGCGCTGACTGAAGACGGAGCTGGGCAAGGTACAGATCGGATCTAGCCTTGTCACGACGGTCCATCGACTTCATAAGACGTCTCTTGGTCCAGAACCGATAGAACACAACCGCATAGATAAGGATGACCAGAACCTCGAGGACAACTTCAATAATAGCGCACACCAAGCCCCAGTCCTAAAACATCAGTAACGACACTAGAGAAATACCATAAACCAGCAACTAGCAAGACTCACCTGCAACCGACAAAGGAGGGCATAGTCAATATCGTTATGAAATAATGTTTCCCTTGTGTTCTTCTTGCAGGACCAACCCCAAAGGTCCTGGCTGTTTCCATTGGCTTTTTCATTCTGGTAAAGCGCTGCTGCGACAATCCACATTACAAGGCTGAACATGAAGAAGCACACTGCAATTGTTTGATAGTAAACTGTGAGCTTTTCAGCACGCTTGTGGCCGCCCTTCCAGTAGCCCCAAAATACGATAAGGCAAGCAAACAACGAGATGCATGCCACTGAAAGGAGCAAATACTGAGTCCACGGATTGGTGCCATTGGCCCAGGCAGGGAACCCCCCCCTAGAAGGCAGTGATTTAGTGGAATGGAAGACGAACAGAGTCAATGCTAAGATTGTGACCACTATCAGACTGCAGCCAAAATTCACGAAACGCAAGAACATCTTAGCCACTCGGACGCGGAGTTTAATTCGCTAGAATTGAATTAGTATGAGCACACAGATAGAACCCTGTTTCACCTCCACTCCACTCACCAGATCTCTAGCATTCTCCTTCTCTGCAGACTTCTCTTCCTTCTCCACATAAAACTCTTCACGAAACGTTGGGCTGAGTGGATTTAGTGTGCGTCCAGGTGTTCCGGGGACCTTTAGAGCACTTTTGAGTGGTGAAGCTGGTAGTTGGTGATGGGATGCATGCTGCACTGGATCATTTGCAGCAACATATCCAAAGCCAACGTCGGACACATCAGGGGGTGTCTGGGACTGACCGGGAGGGTCTGCGAACGGTGACTGCCTGGTGTCAGCAGGGCCAGTGGGGGATTGCACCGTCGTTGCTTCCACAAAGCGAGCCATCCGAGGGCTTTTGATTGACGAAGCTGTAGTGTCCGAAGAGCTTCGCTCCTCTACAATCGGTTGTTGTGTAGGTGCCATTGAATGAGGGCCGCGCCCACGAACTATATTTGTCTAAGTCACTCCGTAATTCAGATGATGGCTTTTCTGGCTGTTATTCGACACAAGCGTCGATAAACAGTATGTAGAACAAAGCTTGCTAGTAAGCTAGCTGATATAAGCTCAGATGTGCCGAGAGCCAGCTCTCGCAGTCCCTTCTCTTCCGGTACTTTGCAGTAGTAAGCAGCGAAGGAAGGATGCTTAGAAGGACAGCTCCAAGTACTCTGGGGGAGACAAGAGAGTTAGCTTTAAATACTTAGTTATAGTAAAGGACGAAAGAGCTTCATGGCCAGTGTTCATAATACAGGGGAGGGGGACACTAATAGGAGGTGTTGTACCTTAATGAAAAAAATTGACCAAGTGATTCGACTGTATCTCACAGTACCGATCTTGAGGGGCTTGGTCAGCTGTATATTGTGTGATTCGAATCATACGACAATAATTTACCGATTTAATGTCCTGAGGATTTTTACAATCGACTTTCTGCTGACGATCTGCTTGAGCGAAGTTTGCGAAGCCAGCGCTACTTAGGCCAAACAAGATCCAGAGATACGAGACGTTGAAAGGAGGAAAAGAAGCTGATCAAGTCAATTGTGCGAGGCGTTACCCATTTGAATGCTACTGATGGGCTTTCAGCTGGCCACCTGGTCTACCAGCCCGGGGGGGAAGGAAAGGACCATGTTGAGTGGAATCACATCTGCCATGTGAATAGAGTACTAAGCGCCCGGAAATTGTAGAGCAAGCCATGTTGGAAAGGTGATTGGGGGAGAGTCAAAGTAGCACAGAGAGTAAGGAGGAGGGAGACAAAGCCGGGCAATACAATGAGTGGATGGCGATCTCATCACTCGAGCTTAACCGCCCAGTTTATCACAGTGGGGGGGTTGAAGAGATGGCTCCAGTCAACTCACAGAGGGTGGATTCATGCAGGTGTGGTCACCCGTGAAGCGAATGAGCATCACCTGTTAGCTTCTTATCCTGGCGCCAATGCTGATCGTCTCTCCAACTCAGCCAACCAGGAGTCCTACAGAACCGCTGGGATCAGTTCTGCATAAGTCAGTTTCTCTCCTCTCCTCTTCTCTCCTCTCCTTCTTTGTCTTCATTTGTTTTATAAAAAAAAATTTCTTTGGCTGTGATGGAGGTTCACTTAAATGTTGCACTAAATTAAGCGCCTATAGAATAATGGCAGAGTGCGAAGCGCTCCGCCATAATGTTCTTAAAATCACCACTAGGATATTTCAATGGTTATAATAGTCATAATAGATCTTCTTGGCCTCCTATGTGGCAATAGCGGCTATAAGGACTATTTCTATAACAGGGACAGCTTATAATCACCTGATCTTCTGGATATTACCACTTTGAGATGTTTCTCACTGTTGGTCAGCCTAAATATCATATCATAATAATGATAACAATGATACCACTTACTCGCATGGATATGTTACTTGTGATGGGTTATCGGAAAGTGTCTGTTGATGTTTCAAATAACCCTGAAGAGTTCACTGCCCCCGCCCCTGTAAAGTGCGTCAACTGAAGGTACAGATACCTGGATGGACTCACTAGAATCCAATGTTGAAAGTGATAAAAGCGAAGGGCTATATTGTGTTGCTTCGTCTCAACGCTTTCCACCCCGTAGGTACAGTCAGGATTTTCCCCTCATCATAGGTCTGCTTGCCATGGCCCATTATGTTTCGCTGTCATAGTAGCAGAGGCAATAACAGACCGTTGCCCAATGTATGACCTTGTAAGCGAACTTCATGGGATTATCAGTTTTATATCCACCACTGCAAAAACCAGCAAGGTTGCTAAGATTCCCCTTTCCAGTGGAACGCGGGGCTCCCTATCAATAGTGACCCAACCCAGGGAAATTTCAGGAATACAATCATTACTTACAAAACAGTCCGTTGCTGGGATATACACTTTGACCTGGACTTGCGTACTATTATCAAAGATCACAGTTCACAGTCCATAATCTGGTTGTGCTCCATTCAACACCTTAATCCCTTTAAGGACACCGTCGTCTCTCCTATTTGAGCAGTCTCTCCGCCGCACTGCACTGCTGCCCGAGGGCTTCAAGCATCGGTGATGCAACAGACACGAGGCCAGTGACACTGCTTTGAATGCCAGGGCCTTGCGATACTCACCGAGGTTATGATACCTATATCTGATTGTTTGAGAGGTAGTGTGCTTGAGGCAGTTGTGCTCTCGGTCGTAATGGTAGCGTAACCAAAGGAGCTAGACTTTAACTGGAGACTTACTATCTTATATTATGCTTCCACCAAGGTTACGCGATCTTGCACAAGTCCAAAAGACTGATTAGGATGACGCAAGGGATTTTGTTATCTTGGGAGAAAGTACGGATAAAAGTTGAAAGTGCCAGGTTTTATAAGGATAAAGTTCGTATATAATGTAAGTGAGCGATAATCGATATGTTCTCTATGCTTACGCTACTCAGCTGCCTGCGACTCTATTCTGTCTCTCTTATATACTACTATCTTAGTGTCTGCTCCGCCTTCACACTTCAGGGGAATGAAGCATAGCCATTATTATATTACACTCTAGAGGTTGGCTACCACCACCTGGCGAATGCCGCCCTCACCTAGGAGAGAAGCCTAGGCCACACGATTGACAGTTCGGTTTTAGACGAAGAAGAATATCACAAATTATATAATAGATAATTATAGTTGTTCTCTTCTAGCTAGTGATGTTTACTGTGCAGGATTATAGACCGAAAAAATAATAGTAGTAGAGGTTTCGAATTTAGCAGTGCTGTCTGCTGTCATTGTAGCACTGACCATGTTGAGTCACAGGACCAATTAGTTTTTCTGAGAAAAGCTTGAGGTGACTACACAGTATATGACAATATCAAGGATTTACAGCAGGACCAACTTAGTGGTCAAATAGTTCTCGCTTCAAGCGTTAATAATATTTTCTTCCACTATCAGGGTCTGGCAGTCAAGCTGCAATTAATACGTAGTAGGGTCCATCAATGAAGCTGGAGATTGCTATTGCCCGTAAGTTCAGCTGGAGCTGTCGCATATGGAGCTCTCCACAATGTAATGTAAAGAAAGGTACTCCGTAGGATGTTTTATTATGCATATATTTGCGCCACATGTGATTTCGGAGTACGCCGAAGCATGGGGTACACCCCCTTAAGGCTTAAGCATGTTATTAGTAGCAGGGACATAATGTAGTATGCAGATCCTAAATGATAGGGGCTTGGAATAGAATACAGAGCCAAAAGAGAGAAAAAAATGAAAGAGGAGGAGAAAGATAGAAGTTGTAGTTGAAACATGGCTTGAAAGGACCTCAAAGACATATACTAACTAGCTACCAGCATTATCGTCACAAGTGCTTACCTAAGTATCCAAGTACTAGTTACTAGTAGTTAACACAAACCAATAGATAGCAGTTTAGTTTTGATATATAGTTAGAGACGGTGCACCCCCAAATTGAATCGTAATTCTAAAAGGCTTCCAAATCACATCGCCGGGTCATCGGGTACTATGTAACAAAAAATGAATGAATGAATAAAACCCAACCGGGAAACAAGTTCAAATCCTATGGATCAGTGTCTACAAGATGGGGCGGGCCATGATTCCTACCAATCAGGGCCCTGGTGCGAGGGATCGACCAGTGGTTCTTTGCAGATTCAATGTGACCCCTCTGGCCATGGCAGCAACAGACGCTTGAGAGGCTGCAGGGCTCCATAGCGTACCAGTCCAATCAGCAGCGTTTTAAGCCGTGTCGGGTAGGCGGTGGGAGTGTACAGCCACCCAAGGGTTTCCACAATATTCTAGAAAACTGGCTATGAGTGGCCAAAACCATCAGCTTCTCCGCGTCCGTGGCCAGCCACAACGGGTTTCAGGCTTTCAGCATGACAAAACATAGCCTCACTCCCTCATTTAACTTTGAAAGGACGGAAGATTAATGAGTCTTTGGCCAGATTAGAATTGAACGCGCTGATGCACCCTCTAAGAAAGTTCTTATAGTGTTCTTTTTCACGGAGGTACATAGTTCTCGCAGATAAACTACGCATCCTTAATGTATGAATGTATGTATGTACTACATACATAAGTAGATAGTCATTTTAGACACATATCTGGAGGTCCCTTACCTTATCCTCGGGCCGGTTTCTATGGCTGTGCTCCTCCGGTCGTGGCTTCCCCTCCATTTTATCTGCTATATTTGGACAGGGCTTTTCAAAAATCGAAACTCAATCCGAATGAAATAGCCCAGCACTGTCACCAGTTCTGAAGTACTGTTGTAGTTAGTACTGGTTGTGCGTTGCACCATGCGCCTCAAAGTACGCTATTAGTACTCCACATCTAGCTATTACCCAAATTACGGTAATATGACTGATGTATGGCAATTAATTACGCACCGCGCAATTCGATCTGATCGGACTTCTTCAATAGATCTGTAATCTGTACGCCATGCCGAGGGGCATTCCGACAAAATAACCAATGCTGCGCCTCTTTTGGTGCCTGGCGACCCATCCCCAAGTATTGAAAGGTTACGGTATCTTACAAAGATGACAACGGACCATGTATAATTCCGGTATCTAGACCATTATTCCGCCAGGCAGAGCCGCCTCGAGCCTGGTCACAAATCGTCAGGCCCAATGCTCTCTCCAGCCACTGTCTTACCTCGTGTCCTCACTCAACTTTGATTTTGCTTCCTTCGCTCTTCCACTCTTTCGTGCTGGTTCTTTTTGGCTCATTTCCCCTCATCTGGTCTGTTCTTTTTCTTTTTTTCTTTTTTTTAGTCTTGTTGTCTTTATTATTGTTACTATTTTTTTTTTGGCTTTCCAAACACCTTTCCTAGGCAGAACCACGACCTCCGCTTTCCAGGCACCTTTGACCCAAACAGATTTCGAGACCGCAACTAAGCCAGCAACTGCATCATCTCCTGGATCCATCCATTCTGCCACAGCCTTTATCAGTTTATTCATGCCTTCCAACCCACCAACTTTTCTTCCTAACAACCGGGTCTTGTAATTATCCTTTCCTAATTTGTATTGGTCTCTCCACTGCATGTCTCTTGTAAGCCTCTGTTTCTTTTTTATTAGTATTTTTTTCTTATTTTAGGTGATCCTTATTTTTTTCCTTTCCTTGAAGGTTGAGGCTTGGTCAACCTAAGTCTCCATCCAACCACCCGCTCATTCCCTCAACTTGTATCTTCCTCTTGTTTGCTCCCTTGACATCTTCGGCTCTTCCACACCCCTTGCCTTCTATCAATCACTCGTGATCCATCCAGTTCAACAGTGTATTGATGCCTTGTCAATGATCTAGATTTGCATGCTTCTCCTTGCCATCGTTTCCCCGACAATCGCTAGTTCCAGCTTCCTCTGCAGCCTAATTTGACATCTCCCGTTCCGCCGTGCACCATCTCGATTCCTCCAGATGGGTTAACCTCAACCAGCTTCGTATCGATCAAGCAGACAATAGAATCAAGCATTCTCATTCTGCTTGCAAGGCTGATCGCTATTTTTATCTCGCTGCTGCAAGGCCCATCTTGTTCCCGTGGGACCTAACTATCTAACGAAACATTGCTAAAGCTGAACCCCCCGTCAGCTTGCGCCACAACCGGCTCCAGGTGAGCGCCCCACGCGACAATACCTCTGATGGCTCTCACTTGTTCTCCTGTCTTGCTTCGCTCATTGGATCCTCCTTATTGCGTCAAAAGCCTTTTATTTCACCTACTGTCCCGGATATCACACTCCTACCCTGCAACTGTTTCGCAACTTTCTCAACATTGGTTTACTGACATGAGTTCCGCCGAAGTAGCTTCCCCGTTCTTTCGCCAACCATTCCAGGCTGGTGTGAAGCACTCGTTATCCATGGCTGCATTGATGCAATCAAATAACGAACCAGTTACCATCTCTAATCCATTACCCGGGCCCTCCGCCTCCATCATTTCAAGCCCGCCCGAATCTGTCGCCTTTCTGAAGCATACGAAACCAGACTCGAGTCTTACCTCCATTGCCAGTGCCGGCTTAAACGTCTCACGATCAAGAGACTCGCTGCCACCCATGACAACGACTACACAGCCAGTTGGTCCGGTAGATCGACTAGTAGAACATGAGAAGGAGCCTGAGCAAAACAGCTCACAGGTAGCGAGAGAAGCTCTCGGTGCAACCGAGAAGCAACAAATGAATTCGATTAATGACTCTGTACATGTGTCCGATCAGATGCAGGTCGATACGCATTCGACTTCAGGCAATGCGGCGGATGCCTTTGGAACGGTCGATAACAACACGTCCCTTATGAATACGTCTACAGTCGCCAGTCCGGGCCCGATAGAAGACTCGGCGTCACAGGATGGGGATCGTCCACGTCATAGGGACGAAATGGACTTGCAGGATGCAAGTAACAAGTCCTTCTCTTACCCTATGCCGACGGTGGGTCTCGGTGATCCCCGTCGTGGCCTGAGCTTACCAGGTTCTGGATTTAATAAAGCCGGCCAGCGATCACCATCAGCTAAAAAACACCGTTGCCCATACTGTTCTACGGAATTCACAAGGCATCATAACCTCAAAAGCCACCTTCTTACCCATAGCCAGGAAAAACCGTACGTGTGCCAGACTTGCCAATCACGCTTTCGAAGACTTCACGACTTGAAGAGACACACAAAACTCCACACCGGAGAGCGTCCACACATCTGTCCCAAATGTGGGCGTCGATTTGCTCGTGGCGACGCTCTCGCTCGACATAACAAAGGGCAAGGCGGATGTGCCGGTCGCCGGGCGAGTATGGGAAGTTACGCTCCTGAAGATGAATACGGCGACGCTGGGGGTCATCCAGGTGCGGAGGATACGATGGATGGCCTCGTCTATGCAGAGCCGGAGCGCATGGATGAAGATGACGAACGCCGCATGAGCATGCCCAGCATTAAAAAACATGATATCACCACAGATTCGATCACACGATCCAATACCACAAATAGCTATCAGCCGCGGCAGCCGAGCACATATCCCCCGATTGCCGCTGGCAGGCCATCTCCAGGGGGTCTTTTCCCTCCTCCTGCGAGTCACGGCGGCTCCAGCGCATCAGCATCCCCCATCTCTCAACCCGGTAACTTGACATTTCCACCTCCCGGTCAGCATTCCGGAACCTCAATATTCCAACCATCAAATGTCACCGAAAGCCCAAAGCCACTTTCACCAAATGCCCTATCTTCACATCAGCTCGCCCATGGCCCTGAACTTCATCGCGCCCACTCTCCAGGCATGGCGCAGTCCTTCCAGCAACAACCATACACCAGATCGGGGTCCTCTCAGACATCTGTTGCAAATCATACCGCTGGTAGCTTAGGCCTTCCTCCACCACAACCTGGTGCCCCTCAGCTCCCTCCACCACCTGGTTTGAACACCTCAGATTCTCGCTTTTCAATTCACCCTCAGAGCTCTGTGCAACCAGCACCGGCCGCGACGAAACATACCCCATCCCACAGCCATTCTAACCATAATGGGCCTCTGACATCCAAAACAGGTCCGGAGGTGGCGGCAAATAATAATGGGCATATTCCAGGACCACATGACTCGAATTTTGCTGATCAGAACCGTGAACGAGAGGATAGGCTCTGGTCATACATTCGTTCTGTTCACGAAGAGCTAACAGGACTGAAGACCGAGGTGGCGGCTTTAAGGGCACAGCTTGCATCAGCAAACGTAAATACGCTGACATCATCGACTCCAAGTGCCACACAACCTCAGGTTGAGCCGAGCACTGCCAGTGCAGGCCAACGGTGATCACAAGCTGTATTCCGCGCATAGACGTCTTTTCAGCCTTCCATCTACTACCGTAGGCATCCGGTTGATGATGATGACTGTTGATTATCTTCCTGACATATAACTGGACTATTTCCCCGAAGAATTTCAATACCCTTCACATGTCCTATTGCATGTTTCCCTATTTTGTCATGATTCCTTGTCGTCCGTGTTTCCACTTTTCTTTTGTTGACACCTTAATGCCTTGACGAGACAATATCTAAATTCAACGAAAGACCTGTTGCAAGGCTGGTCCAATTTTCTTTTGTGACCCTCCCACTTCCAGTCCCTAATCTTCCTTCTCATTCGTGTTTTTACTACACTCTTCTTTCCCTTGGCGTCACCTTTTCTACTTGATACGTTCACTATTTCAGGATTGGGGTATGGTGTTTTACGTGCAGGGCTTGTTCTACCTTCCTCCCCACCCTAGTCTTGATCCCTTGCCAATAATCCTATGATAATTACTCACCCCCGCATTGTCCCACATCTTGTACGGAATCAGCATATCATACTTCTCTTTTTGAATTCACAGATCTTAAGGGTAGGGAGTATGACGGTGGCAAAATGTGTTACTATAGCTCAATTCTGGCAGTGTATACACGTGGCATGGTTAATTTCTTCTCTATTGATTGTAGGAAGGGGGTCAATTACCATCTCCCCAACAAGAATTCGGCTCCGTACCTGTAGCACTCCTTTAGCACCTAGGTCTCCCATTGCCATGACGCATCACGTAGCGTTCGTTTGTATTTGAGCTCCTTGGTTACACTGAGATCTCGTCTGGGCCGTCCAGTCGATGAACAACCACACGTGGGCCAGTAACTCTCTCGTGCAGCAGGTCCAGAACCGAATCCCTCGGCTCACTCGTGAGAGGAATTTGAACAATCATGAACACTGTGCCTCGAGATATGGGAAGAGAAGTGCTGATAACTAAGACGATGAAGAACCGAGGAGAAATTAATGACTTGGGGTGAAGGTGGTGGGCGATGAGATTGACTGACCGGTATGTCAGTGTTAGCAGGAACAGGTAACAAGCCATGAAGTATTGGTAATTAAGTACTAGCGGCCAGCAGAAAAATCCAATCTATTCTCTACACCACGGGGGAGTGCCACCCACGTATAGATGAAACAAGATTGATGGTAGACCAAAACACAACCCAGGTCGCTGTGCACTCACCATACATGTCAACCTCCTGCCAGCCGCTGTTGATTTTCCCTCTTATACAACCAATCCAGCAATTGCTCTGTACCCTGTCACGCTGGAAGTGTACTCCATCCCATTCTTCGTATGACTTTCCCTCAACCCGGACTGGAATTCCTCCCAAGATGCTGACCCGCCACCGGAGCATTCTGGTGGACACTCTTGCGACAGACCCAGAACTCCTCTTCTAGGCGTTCCGGACGATGCGGGAAGAAATATGGACTGGGGCGGTGGCGGGCCGCGAGTGACGAGGTCTTCACTATTTGTAGAATGCTGCTGAGGCTGAGGCAGGGGAAAAGTCGGCGTCTATCAAAATGGAACTTTTGAAAGCCGTGGGGTGGGTGTGGGTGAATGGGAAGGGAGAATAATAGAGGGGTTTGGAGCGAGGCGGAGAAAGGAAGGAAGATCTTATATAGGGCATAGATTAGGGGTGGGCAGAGATGTATAGACATCGTAGTCGGGGAGGAGATTCCTCAATGATTACTCTGGAGATTCATATCTCTCCTTTGGGTTTCCCAAGGGAACAATCAACCTAGTCTCAAGTCTCCATGATATTCATCGTACAGTAATCATTTCATACATGCTAATGTCACAATAGTTCAAATTGCCGTATCCAATGTTGCTCCTCGTCATGCTGGATATATATATCTGCACATATAGTTAGACTACACGCCTCTCCGTATGAAGGTCTAGCTGGGCGATACGACACAATCGCACCCTTAACGCGAGGTATGTCTCGCTCTAAATTAGTAGCTGTATCCAGACAGGCGGACAATCATAGATTCCGTACCCCTGGACCAACACTACCGGTATCGAAGATCTCGATCAAACCAGCTCCGAGGGCCTCTTCTAGAACCCAGCGAAAGTTCATTCCGCACAGTTCTTTCCATTTCTTCGTCCTACCTGGCAAGATACCTGCGTGTTCGCCTCTTGTTCTCTTCGCGGCGCTGAAACCTTTATCTGTTTCGACTGCCCCATCCCAGCGATCCCGGAGTAGATTGAGGGGCAGCTCGCCAGAGTTTGATTTTCTAATAAGTGAGAGGAGATGCGCTCTGCCAGCGCCTAGAAGCCGTAGATAAGGTCCTGTGTTTGGAAGAGATAGGAACAAATCTGTTGTATGACATCGAGAGCGCTCGGTACCTTCTTTGTCATCCAGTGCAGCGGTATCACCCCGACTCGCCGAGTTCCCAGATGAAGCCGGGGGTGGGAGGGTCGGAAGCGATATTACGCCTGGAGATCCCTTGACCGAAGTCGAGGAGGAGACCAGAAATCCAGCACCGACAAGCGTCATGCACTCCGGGGCAGAAAACAGAGTATCAGGGACAGCGAAAGTGGCGCCGAGTCGACTGAGAACGTCCAGGAACTTGTCTAATAATCAACAATTAGCAATCGAAAACTTAAGTCGCACAGAGGCAAGCAACACCTTTCATATGGGACCGTATAGAACTGTCTCGGACAAGTTTTTCCCAGTCCTCCGAGAGAACTAAGCAGTCCCCTAACCCAGCCGCGTCATTTCCTCTGCCTGGAACAATCAATCGACGGATTCGGCCAGAATTTACATAGTCCATTATCTCTCTCTCCACCTTCGTTGGTGCATCCAGTAATGTATGGATGTGAGCCACTGAGGCGAGTGGTGGCAGCGACCGACGAAGATTTAATAACTCGGCGACACGGGTGCTGTTCATGCCTGTTCGAGTGGGAAGGGCCTCGAAAAAAGTACTCTTGATGTGACATATAGCCTGAATAACATCCTCTACCGGAGCAGTCTCTGAGATGTATCGTGACATTCCAATATCCGGAAGTGGCCCTTGGCCATACTCTTCCCAAAATCCGCCACTGGGTTCATTGGATTTGACATCGGTGGATGACTGTGTGATAGTTTTGCGACGAGCATGACCGGCAAATGGAGAAGAGCGGAGCGTTGTGTTGGATGGTTTCCTTCTTTTCTTGACACCAGAAACAGGAGCAGAGGTGATGCGCAAGGGCATGGTCGAGAACGGGAGAGGAACCTCCCATCGGGTGGAAGAGATGCCACTAATGAAATACTATACAGTATTAAAGTAGTTACTTATCTGATAAGAAGCACCATCACGTGTTATGCCCCTCACCTTAGTAGATCCCACCAATGAGAACGATCAACCCATGGCTATACAGAAAGTCTGTTAACATAGTACCGATCGCGGAGTTGGTGGTATGATATGTGGTATTGTAGACCATGCTGCCTAGGCAAAATCTTGGCCAAGTATAATGGACTTGGGTGGCCTCTGTATTTGATGGGATTCTAGCCGGCCGACAATTCTCTCGGTGGGACTGTAGCAACAAGTTGTTGAGCAGGGTCTCTCTTCACATGACGTAGTGATGAGGGAGGATTTGTGCCTCAGGTCCAACCATCGTCATCTTTAAAATCCTCCCCCACGCTCCCGCATCCAACATCAACAGGCTGTTCTTCGCCTGGGCTTGGTCGCGCCATTTCTTTCGTTCTAAGAAAGACACTTCCTGTCACTGTAATTTAGATTTCCCATCGACCTTTCAATTGCCGCCTCTGTCTGCCCTCTGTCTCCCCTCTTCTCCTTGTTTTTGCTTTGTGTGGCTGGGCGCATTTGGAAGCTTCCACAATGACGATCTATATCGCTTCGCTGTGTGTGGATTGCCTTTTTTTCACCTTTATGCTCTTTCAATCTTCTGCTGATACGCTTGACTGATAATGATTCAGGTTTCTGCCATATACCGTTAACTTCCACCTCAATGAGTCGAAAGATCGTCCACTCCATACAGGCTCTGAGCCGTCGAAGCCTGGCGCGGAGGCCTCAGCCTCAGCAGCCAATGCAGCCGTCAGCTTATTTGAGAAACAGAACCGCGATCAGAAAGTCGGTCTCACACCGGGCGCCACCACCGAACATGAGCGGATCTTCTCGTCAGATCTCGCAAGGGCCGAACAGGAGCATTCCGGATATCCATTTCCGGATATAACTCAAGATGGAATTCTTCTAACCGAAAGTGAAGCACACTCTCCTGCATGGGGTTCAACGCTATCTTTGAACCAGCCGCGGCCACGGGCAACTATTCCGCCGTCCCCATCCATCCTTAAGCACCAGGAGCCTGTTGCTCCCACGACAGAACCTTCTCCCAAGAGATCCAATAAGGAACAGAAACCACTCTATACTCAACGCCATAGTGGGGTTCACCACAGCAGGGAACCCAGCCGTAAGGGTTCCTTCTCCAGTGCTGAATGGACAATCGAGACGGCAGAGCAGGGCAATGGGGGGCTTCGCAACGCTGTTCGGTCAGCAACAGATGCAGGACAATTAGAAGACAAGGTCTGGGTTGGTACACTAGGAATGCCGACAGATGCTTTGTCTAAGTACACCAAGTCTGCGATTGCTGAAAAGCTTGAGGATGAGTACGACTCGTTGACTGTATATGTTAGCGACGGTGATTTTGATGGCCATTATACTCACTTCTGCAAAACGATACTCTGGCCTGTGTTCCACTACCAGATCCCCGACAACCCGAAAAGTAAGGCATATGAGGACCACTCCTGGGTCTACTATGTTAAGACCAACCAAGCATTCGCAGAGCGAATCGCTCGAAACTGGAAGCGCGGAGATTCAATATGGATTCAGGACTATCACCTATTGCTGGTTCCGGCCATGCTTCGTAAACTGCTACCGGACGCCCAAATTGGCTTTTTTCTACACATTGCTTTCCCATCTTCGGAAGTTTTCCGTTGCTTAGCCCCTCGTAAAGAACTCCTCGAAGGCATACTAGGTGCAAATCTTGTTGGCTTCCAGACAGAGGAGTACTGCCGACACTTTCTTCAGACGTGTAGCCGTATTCTCTGCGTTGAGGCCACGAATGAGGGAGTCCAGCTCGAAGATCGGTTTGTCAACGTGAACAAATTCCCAATCGGCATCGATCCAACTTCATGGGACAAGAGACGTAAGGCCACTGACGTTGAGCAATGGGTTAAAACCATCTCCGAAAGATACGAAGGGAAACGATTGATCGTTTCACGCGACAAGATTGACGGAGTCAGGGGAATACGGCAAAAACTCCTTAGCTATGAGCTATTTCTCAATACGTACCCTGAATGGAGGGACCAGGTATGTGGCCTATTGTCCAATCGCCCTATGATCATAACTGCAGGGACGTACTGATTATTTATGTGTAGGTGGTATTGATCCAAGTTGCAACCAGTACTACAGAACAACCCGAACTTGAAGCTACAATTTCTGATATAGCTATGCGAATCAATTCTACATTCTCAACCCTAGCTCATCAACCGCTGGTTTTCCTCAAACAGGATCTCGCTTTCCCACAGTATCTCGCCCTAATCTCGGTTGCAGATGCTTTGATGATCACCAGTCTACGTGAGGGAATGAACCTGACGAGTCACGAGTTTGTTTACTGTCAAGATGGAAAATATGGCAACAAGAAGTATGGGTCTCTGATACTGAGCGAATTCACGGGAAGTGCATCGGTATTCGGGAATCATGCTCTTTTAGTCAACCCTTGGAATTATCGGCAATGTGCGGAGGCAATTCACACAGCTCTGTCGAGGAGCGAGGAGGAACGCAAGCAAGTGTGGACTCAGTTACACAGTGCAGTCCTTCAAAACTCCACTGCCAACTGGGTCAAATCCTTCAGCGAGACTCTGAACCGTGTTTGGAATGAGCAATCGTCGCGTGAGATCATGGCCGTTCCACGGTTGTCCGTCAGCAAACTCGAAGAGGCATATCGCCAGTCCAATAGTCGGCTTATCATTGTGGATTATGAGGGCACCCTGGCCTCTTGGGGCTCCCCCAAAAGCATCATTGTCACTACACCGCAGCGAGCCATTACGACGCTGACTGAGCTAACTGAGGATCCTAGGAATATAGTATTTGTCATGAGCTCTAGGATGCCAGAGGAGATGGAGCGATTGTTCCGGATGGTGGCGGGCTTAGGCCTTATTGCAGAGAACGGATGTTTCGTGCGCGAGCCGAATACGGAGGAGTGGTTCAAGTTGACAAATAAGGCACAGACTGACGCTTGGAAAGAGGCCGTCCGCCAAATTCTCGGTTATTATCAAGAGCGGTCAGAAGGCAGTTGGATCGAACAACGTCACTGCTCTCTCATGCTCCACTATGGATCGGCTGAAGACCAAGCGGCTGCCTCTCGACTCGCTTCCGAGTGCGCAGACCATATCAATGACTCCTGTGCCAATCAAGGGGTCCATGCTGTGATGATGAATGGGGCGCTTGTGGTAGAGCCGGCTGACACGAATAAGGCATCAGCTGTGGCTATGGTATGGCGGCATTGCCTGGAACGAAGCAAGAGCGATCATAGCGGACGACCGGATTTCCTGATGGCCATTGGGGATGGTCGAGATGATGAGCCGGTTTTCCGATGGGCGAACAAACTTGAGAACGCCAAGGGAGTTGACTATGCCATGACGGTGACGTTGGGATCCCGTAGCACGGAAGCTAAAGCAACCCTAACTCAGGGGGTGACAGGTCTGTATACCTACCAATTATTGATGAAGATTGTTGTGCTAACTGCATCGTTTTTAGGCGTCCTTTCTTGTCTGGAGAGACTAGCTGCGTCATCGCTAGAGCAGTAATTGACTACTTAGGCAGGCCTATGGGTTCGTCAGTACAACTCTACATATAATGGTATCGAGCAATTTATTGGTTGCATATGTTGAGATCAAGACGCCAACCGAAATCAAAGGCAAAAGAAAGAGAAATTGAAAAAGCGCAGCGTCCTGGTGTGATGTAGTGGAACTCGAATGGGACAATTAGGCTGTTAATACAGATACGCTAGAGCATTTAAAAATGGTATGTATGTACTCTGCTTCTTTCGTAGAAAAATTTCGCAGACTTTACTCCGTAAATACTTCGCGTTGGTGGTTAACTACGTAGTTAACTGACAGTACTACGTACACAGCGTTAGTCAGCCTCTAGGTACTGTACATACATTTCGGTTGGACGTAAGGACATACCGAGGCATTTTGCGGAGAAGCCAAATGCTTAATTAAGCTCCAATGTTCCGTGGGCCAGTACACAATGCCCACCTTGTCATATCCTCATTTATACTATCTCCGTGATTGAATAACCCCCCGTAGTCTTCTTCAATCCTCGCTGCGCGATCAGATTTTCGAGCCATTCCAAATAACCATAACCATGACTGCTCTTCCGGCGAACAGCCCAGTGTTCGAGGAGGCCATTAAAGTGACGCCGCTTGAATCCCATCGGTATTCAGCGTTCCTACGTGATGAATGGTGCATCGGAACAGGTATGCTTCATCCCGATATCCTTCTTTGCGCTAGCTTGTTCTTTCGAAGTTACATCATGGGAAAAGGGGAATTAACTAAGTAATTGCAGTCCCACACGGCGGATATACGACCGCTGTCATATACCGACTTGCTCTTACGCATTTCGCACATACACATCCGACGCTATACGATGCACCGGCAACCCCGATATCTCTTCAGCTTTCGTTTCTGCGTCGCACAGCTGCTGGTCCAGCCATACTGACAGTGCAAGATATGAAACTGGGGGCACGCACCAGTACAATTCATATCAACCTATGCCAGCCGAGTGAGAAGAAAGCAAAGAATGGTGAACTAGAAGTCAAGGTCGCTGGCTATATCACTGTGAGTCCATCTACCGCGGAAGTAGGCATCAGCTCCAACACCGGCTGGAGCCTACAACCAGCTGCACAACCTGGAACAGGGCCGAATGGCAGCGTGAACCTGGCGGCGCTGGGTCAAACCGGCCGCGATGGCAAATGGGTGCTTCTCCAGCCACCATATCCCAAGTTTCGCCGCGCAACCCTGCAGCTCGAGCTGTATGGACCCGAACCGGCTTTGGGGAAGCCTAAAGTGATCGATCAATGGTCGCAATTTCGACCGGGCGGAGATCGCGAGGCACGGTGGACCAACGAGGCCGTGGCATTCCTAGTGGATATGTTCCCGATGGCGCTTGGTGGGCTTGATCAAATGGCGTCGGCGTCCACCCCGTCACAAGAGTTAGCGGAGAAAACCGCACGGTTTTGGTACCCTACCGTTACTTTGAATATCGACTTTAAGAAACGATTGCCTGCGCAGGGCGTGGAATGGCTATACAGCCGAATTCATACTAAAGTGGTGCGCGATGGTCGGACAGACCTGAATGTGGTGGTACTGGATGAGCAGGGTGATGTAGTGGCGTTGAGCACGCAGGTGGGTTTGGTGCTGAGCGCCAACCGGAACCTAGGACAGCGGCAAACAAAGATGTAATTGGCTTGTTTTCATGGCAAGCTATATGCATCCATGATGTACATAGATAACTCTCGAGTGGTAGATCTAGATCTATATATACAGCGATCATGGCCTCTAATATATACATGCATAGCAATCGGGATTTGGAGCTGTTTACAGATTCGATGTGGCCTGTAGCCAAAAAGCCATGGCGTCAGTAGTGACGACCAACTGATCCGGGTTTTCCTCATCCGCTTGAAGGACCTGGGCGCGCACCCAAAACTTTCTCCCCACACGGCCGACCACTTTGGCACGGATGATCAGCAATCCAGGAACCGTGACAGGTCTCTTGTACCGTATATCCAATTGCGATGTGTATAATTTCCCACGAGGAGTTGTGTCTTCCGCGTTTCCTTTGTGATCAGAAGCGTCCAACTCGGGAGGCGGAGAGTACAGGGTTACGGCCAACGACATCGCCTCATCGATGCATGTTGCGATAATGCCACCATGAGCCGTCGACGGGTGGCCACTCACGCCCGGTGTTGCCAGATCCAGCAGCATGAGAATGTCTGGGGGCAAGACAGACGGCTCTGACGAGACCGGATCATCGGTGGGAGAGGGCCACGGCGGACGGGAGGCGGAGAGCGAAGGAAGCCACCGACGACGGAGCGTAAGACAGTGAGGGATGGTGGTCGAAGTGGCTAAAGTACCAGCGAAATAGCCATCTTCGCCGGTGGAGGGTTTCGGAAGGCGTGACCAAGTGCGGATGGGATAGTATTCTGAATGGTTGAGTAGACGGTTGGCGTGAGGATGGGAACGAAAGGAATCGAGAGATGCTTCTTCCGTTAAGGGAGCATTCATGATGGAGGGAGGTTTGGAATCAGCCATTTTTTCTTTCTTTGTATGTTCATATGTTCGATTCATAATATTTCTGTTTCTCCTGTTCTTCTTTCTTTGTGAGGATATGTATGGTAAAAAGGAAAATTATACCACACCGGCAGGATGGACGGGAAGAAAGCAAATCGATTGTTTCTTTAAGTGTTAGACATGAAGTTTCATTGTCTATATATACCCCGGTCGATCATCCTTGGGATACTCGTCTACTAGTAACTAGTAGTACTGTGTACTAAGTAGGGTACCTTCCTTCAACCTCGGCTACAAGTTCGGCTGCCCGATTGGTCCCTCCGTTGAGGTAAGATGGAACCTAAACTTACTACTAGTACTACGAGCCTGGGTGTCAAGTCGGGGGAGGGGGTCAATTATTGGCCAAGTTATAAAACCAGTGGAATAAAACAAGTTCATCCATAAGAGGTATGCAACAAATTATTAATAGTATTGACGTGGACCATGATCGTGAATAAGAATTGCAAGGAATGAATGAATTGGGGTAGAATTGGTCACTGGGAGAATTCTTTCCATCAAAGCAAAACATACATACCAAACAACTCCTCCTAGTACTAGTAGTAGTACTACTAGTAGTAGCTAAGTTCACAATTCCTGCAGGAGACTCGACAAATTCCACACCTCCATGTCCATATTTCAAACCTGCACTAGCGTGAAAACTGCCGCAACCGACGGCCTCCATTGGGCTTAGTTCCCTACCTAGATCGATTTAACCCCTCCAATGGAAAGATGATCCTCGTTAGGCACATTCCAATCATGGAATTTTAGTCTCTGCTGTGGTATGGAACGAAATTATCATCATAGTTACAGGGTCCAAGTGGGAAGCCAAAAACAAAAAAAGGATTGAAACCGGGAAAATGGTGGTAAAAAAAAAAAGAAAAAGAAAAAAAGAAAAAAGGGGACCCGAATACAGTAGTATAATATGTTTGGAATATTTGCTTCAATTTTTTCTATTGTTATTCTCTCACTCTTCAATTCCTATTCCATAATGAATATTTAATTTAGTCAAAGTCAAAATCAATAATAACAGCTAAGTAATCATCATGTTAATAATAATAATAACATTAGGAGATTCTTCATGAGTACGACTCCGGAGTAGGTACCATAAGGAATCGTTCGTTTTCTGTCTCATTGCCTGGTCCCTAGCGTGTCACCCCCGCTTGCGATATAAACAAATACCCATTCAATAGTACTTTCCCAGCGGTTAGTGACTTGTTTTAGCAGCTATACCGTTGCTACACTACTGTCACTGCAGATAAATACCTCCCCCGGCTTAAATTTTCCACTTCTTTCTTCTTCCTTGTTTCCCCCCTTGTGCCTTCTCTTTTATCTCCTGCCAATTCCCGTTCCCTTCCAACAATTGTTTCCCTCTCCTCACCTTCTTCTCTCTCCATCCCTCACTCGCTTTTCGCGTCTGGCCCATTCCATTGATTTACTGATCGATTGAGGGTTTCGTTACTACTCATCCATACATACACATACACCACCCAACCCCAATCACGACCATCATGTTGCCGATCGTGTTTCTCTCCACTTTGGTGGCCTCCGCTACTGCAGTGACCACCGCCAGCAACTATACCTTCCCTGAGGGATTCGATCTGAACCAGGTGAAACCCACGGATAAGTGTAGGTTCTCGTCCTGGTCGTGATTGTACAACATGCCTATGGCATGATCCACCAGTACCGCAGAAAAACTAATGAGTATCTTCAGCTGCCTGGTGTCAGGCCGAGCGGAACGCCTGCCCTAAGATCTGTGGCGGAGTTGCTGATAAGAACAATTGCGACCCGGTATGGTTAAACCACACACCCACGGCGTTGGAGAGCTTTGGATAAGCTAACAGACACAGCAAACTCTTGATTTCACTTGCACATGCTCCAATGGTACCGATGCAGACGTCGCATCTTACGCGGAGACTATCCCCTTCTTCGTCTGCCAGGAGAACTACCGCCAGTGTATCGAACGCTCCACTGACCTTGACGGCGACGAGAAGTGTAAGAAGGCCCAAAGCCAGTGTGGTTCGAAAAATGCGTCCGATGCCTCTGGCTCATCTTCATCGACTACCACCGCCACATCCTTGCCTACCTCGACTGGTTCTTCGGGATCTGGCAATAGCGAAAGCTCATCCACCGGCACCGCGACGAGCAGTGGCAGCACAAGCAGCACTACCGCTAATGCTGCTGTGCGTATGGCCCAGGACCATGCGACAGGAATCTTAGCAACGGTACTCTTCTTGGGTCTCCGTCTCGTTCTGTAATATGGTAGTTTCGGGTTTCACCGCAGAAGGCTTGATCAAGTTCTGATTATGAAATGCGCCGCTCTGATCCTTCTCGAAGAAAAATTGTGCTTGATGGTTTTTTCCCTCTCCTAACTCGCTTTGCGTCTATGACCTACCGTTGTCGTACTATTCCCCTGTTCTTGCGTCGCGGTTAATGAGCTGTATCGTTCTGTGCGTGCTTTAGTCGTTCCTTTCACGAGTCTAATCGATGATACTCCATATGGAAGAATAATAGTCGCTCTTTGATATTTTCTGAAGACTCGCCAGTATGCCATTAAATTTCGAAAAGGGACCGTCGTAAATGTAGAGATAGAGAATCTTTGTTTCTTTTCTTGAGTATATACAAGGACTTACTATTGATCGTCACTATAAACGCTGATCCATCGTAACTCGCGCCAAGACTTTTTCCCACACTGAAATTTCTCCACCGCCAACCAACCACAACCACGACGGAATTCAACTCTCGCTTTCCTCCCCTTCTCTCCTCCTTTTTAATCCTTTTGCCTGTTATCCTCACAGTCCCCCATCAGAATGCCCGCCCCCACTACTACCCTCCTCATCGAGGGCTCCTTCAGCGAACTCGCCGATGAGTTCGCCCAGTACCTCGACGCACTGCGCAAAACCGAAGGCAGCACCACCATTCAGGCCGAAATCTCCCCGCTCTTGGAACCCCTCCGCCAGCAGGAACAGAGTGACGCTGAGCCCGATCGGAAACAGCGTGATGATGTTCTCAAGAAGCTGGTCTCGGCGGCATCCGTGTTGAATAATGCTCCAGAGAAGGGTGGGTCGTCCCTCCAACATATCGTCCAAGCGAGAACGATCGGGATATCAGACTGCATGACAGAACAGAAACTGACACGCCAATAATTAGAGATTATCTCCGCCTACAACCTTCTCGTCCATCTTATTCACTACGCCTCAGACCCTGACATGTTCCTCTCCCGCATCTGCTCTTACCTCGCTAAACCAATCACTTCTTCCGCCCAGTTCGGACCCTCGTTGGCCATCTCTATCCTCTCCACCATCTTCAACACTCTCGCTCCTACCGACTCCAGCCGCTTCCATGTCTTCCTGGGTATTGTCGCAGTTATTCGTCAGTCCGGCTCCACAGTCGCTTTCGAAGCCCTCAAGCCTCAGTTGACCGCTCAGCTGCCCACCTGGCTGTCCTCCTGGGAGTTAGATGAGGAAGAGGCTCAGCGCCTGCACCTCGCCGTTGCAGACGCCGCTCAGGCCGCGGGCGACCCGGAGCTGGCGCAGACTCACATTGTGCAGGCTCTGCAGACCATTCCAGCCGCGCAGGCTTCTTCCAAGGAGGCCCGCGACCTCGCCATCCGCGCTCTCACCTCCGCTCTCACCCACCCCGCTGTGTTCGACTTCACCCCTCTGACGGCTTCGGACGCCGTCCAGGCCCTTCGCTCCAGTGACAGCACCCTGTTTGAGCTTCTTGAGATCTTCACAGCCGACACCCTCGACGCTTACGAGGCTTTCGTCACCGCCACTCCCTTGACGGGCATCTCCGGTGGTGTGCTGGCCGACGCTGGCGAGGCGCTGCAGAACAAGATGCGTCTGTTGACTTTGGCCTCTCTGGCCGCCTCGACCCCTTCCCGTTCCTTGCCCTATGCTACGATCGCCGCGGCTCTGCGTGTGCCAGCCGAAGATGTCGAGAAGTGGGTCATCGATACAATCCGTGCTGGTCTGGTCGAGGGTAAGCTGTCTCAGCTGCGCTCTGAATTCCTGGTACACCGCGCTACCTACCGTGTTTTCGGCGAGAAGCAGTGGGCAGAAGTGCAGGGTCGCTTGATGGTCTGGCGTCGCAGCCTTGAGAACGTTCTGGGCGTTCTTCGTAGCGAGCGGGAGCGTTTCGTTCGTGAAAGCCTGCAGGCCGCTGTGGCAGCAGAGGAAGCTGCCCAAGGCAAGTCGAACGACAAGGGTAATAAGTCTGGAGATCGTCGGCAGCGTCATGGTAACAACCAACAATCTCAGCAGCAACAGCAGCCCCAGGAGGTGGCAGCCGCAGAGTAATCAACTCTAAGAAGAAAACACCACGATACTCATTGGAAAGGGAAAAGAAGTATAGAAAAAGTTCGTCGTGTAATGGCTGGGAAGAGGTGTTATGTTGTATTTTCATTTTCTTTCGATTGTTTATTCTTTGGTTCATGTGTTCTCTCCGGGCGACATTTTTATCGGTTCATGGTAGCTATTTGTTTCTAGACAGGTTCCGCCTGGCATGTAGTTAGGATTGGGCCCGATCAATGGACACGAGTCATGTCATGCATATACGAAGTGATATAAAATTGGGACTATGTCTTCATATATATATACACGCATATACCGGCTATATTGTACTTCGAGACGTAGGTAGACATCGTATGTAAGGGAGAAAGAAACCACTCCATCTAGAAAGCGCTATCTACATCCCCAATGACAAAAATATAAAGATCGCTGACACCGACACACATTATAAATAGACATAAATTACTGCTGATGGACCCCACGAGCCTTGAAGCTCTCTTGAATACGAGCATACACCTCCTCAACAGACCCCGTAGCCGACACAGACACAACCTTATTCTGTTCCTCAAAAGCTTTCACGACAGGCATACTGGTGTCAACAAACGTGCGGAAACGCTTCCGAATAGATTCAGCATTATCGTCATCACGACCGGAAGTCTCCCCACGCTTCAATAAGCGCTTCTCCATAACCTCCTCCGGGCAGTCCAAGAACAGTGTTAACTCCGAGGGACAGACCGTATCTTCGAAGAACACAGCCTGGTCCAATTTGCGCGGGAACCCATCGACCAGGAACCGGGCCTTCTTGCCCTCCCCAACACCAGCACCGTTCTCCAAGGCATCTGCCATTGCGTTCGACAGTAGCGCTACCGTGATCTCCATCGGAACAATCTTGCCCTCCCGGATATAAGTCTTGATCAGTTCACCATACTGGCTTCCCTCACGGATCTGCTCGGCGCGCAGCAGATCACCCGCTGAAAGATGGACAAAGCCGTAGTCGCGGACGAGGTTGGCGGATTGAGTGCCCTTACCACTTCCGGGACCACCGAGGAGGAAGACAACCGTGACTTCGGAGGGCGAGAAGCGAGGGGTGGGATGTTGAGTGTCGGCCATGTTTCTTTTTCGTCGGAGAGTAGATAGATCCTTAGGGGTGATAAGGTAATCTAGGAATTAGGAGACTGAGAGTCGGGTTTCGGTTTGTGAATGCCGGTACGGGACTTGACAAGGAAGATGTAGGATCCTGAACCGATACCAATGATTGCTAGGAACGGGAGGATTTTGAATTGGGAGCGGTTGTATTGTGAGGAGTTGGAAGAAGAGGAAGAATAGGGGCGGTGGTGTTGTTCTTGCCGGAGGTGGTGGGGTCGGGGTGATGATCTTGCGGGTTGATTGTGAGAGAAGGCCACGCGGGAGCGAATTGGGAAGGCGGGATTGCGGAGGACACCAGAGCAGAGAGACATCTGGAAAAGAGGGATCGAGGAGTATTATATTAGACTTAAAAAGAGTGGAATTGGAAGAGTGAGAGAGACTAGTTAGAAAAGATAGTTCCGAAAAAAAAAAAAAAAAGACAAGATGGCAGGACGATCGGGTTCAAATGTTTTCCACATAAGGAATAGTGTGTAATCAATCGGTATGGTAAAAAACATAATGAACGATACTTGAAGTATATGTATATACGTACATACATACAACAAGGTGTACATTCACTGTTGAACAAATCGTTCTCAATGAACCTCAATAGGGCATTTAGGACAATGTATCTACTTTTTGGACATGATTGTCACCGGCCCCTTTCACCTCTCAATACTGACTGGTACTCATATACATACCTCACCACTCAAGCACCATTTACATGAATGCCTTCCATTTTCTCGTGTATCATACTGAATCTCTATGCTATCTGCGTTTCTCAAATCCACTATTCACTTCTATGATATTTCAGAATACACTTGACTCACTCAACTCAAAAATCTCACCTATTTAATCATACGCCACAACCATGGCAGGCTCAGCTAGGCGTGGCTTTCGAAACAATCGTGCATCTCGCAGTCGACGAGGCAAGGGTAAAAAGGATCAGAGCCCTCTTGACCAACCCGGAGAAGTTCTTGGAAATGGATCTCATTTTTCGGATTTTGGAAAAACTGCTTCTCGCTCCAATGTGAGTCAAGCATCATTGTCATTGACCGTTAACCCTAACCCAACGGAATAGATTCGGTACAATGGAAGAGCTCGCTATCGAGCAAGCCAAAAGGTAAGTTATATACCATACCTTGTCTCTAGCTTCTATTGAATGAACATTCCAGGAAAATATCAAACCTCACTCGCCGCAACTTACCCAGACTCCAGCAAATGCGTCAAACACAAGAAACAGAAACCATCCTCAGAAGCTGGACGCCGTCCGTTCATCACCGCGAAACCATGTATACAACACGGAAACTCCAGAGCATGCTAGACACATGCAAGAGCATACCAATAGCAAGCGTGCGCCTGGATCTCCACTGGCTTCAAAACCCGATACTAAACGACAGAAGGCGAACTACCCAACACCAGTACCGAGGGTTCTGTTCTCCCAACCCGCTCCCAAATGCTCAACTTCTGCGCAAAAAGCACAAGAGAACAAACTGTTCGTTCCTGGAAAGAAAGTCAACTCCTCCGAGGGACCGGCAAAGCCTGCATCGCTCTTGGGCCTTCCTGCAGAGATCCGTTGGGAGATCTACCAGTACCTTTTCGAACCACATCGTGTAGAAATTCTCCGTCGCAAGGATAAGAACACCGATACGTCTTGGCCAGCTCGCTATAGACTTTATCATCGCCAGCAGAAGCCTCGTAACCCATCTACGCAGGCTGTTGGTAATAATGGCCACCGTACCAGGCCGACACCATTCTTATTTGGCCTTGTTTTTACATGCCGAACTATTTATTGCGAGACAGTTCTTCTGCTATACTCGACTGCGCAGTTTATATTCAGTTCCGCGAAGTCAATCATGCGATTTCTTAGAACCACATCCAAGGATCACCTGGCTGCTGTCCACCATGTAGAGCTCAGTCACATCATGTACAATGAGCCACGATTGACGGCGTTCCGCACATTCAAGATCCGCAGTGACCTTGCTTGGTACAGTGCCTGTGATGAGATGGCATCAGCCTGTGTTTCTTTAAAGGTGCTACATGCCAGAATAGCCATTTATGATTGGCCCATCCGACTGGAAATAGGCGAACTCTGGTCTATGCCGCTTTTGCTGTTCGGCCACTATGACGGAGGCTTAGACTATGCGGGCGTTCAGCTTCAAATGAAAAGGTTTCAGGACGACAAACTTCGGTCTGTGGCGCGCGCTCTGGAGCAGAAGATGATGAAACCAAAGATGTTTCAAATTCGAGAAGACGAACAACTGGCCAAGGAATTGATGGGACCGATTAAAGCAAGAAAGATATTGAAGTTAGTGGTTTAGTCATTTGGGTGTTATCCGGTTGTGGTTTTATTTGCAATTTTAAAAGAATGGCAGCGGTAAATCCCTGCTGAATGGTTTGGGGAAATGTTATCTGCTTACAATATTGCCCTTTCATTGTTACAAATTGCGTTTTTCTATGTTTCTTTTTGTCTTTTTTGTTGTTTTCGTTTCCTTGGATGAACAACAGAAACATACCCTGCAATAGGAAGCAATTATGGATCAGTTCTGTGACTCAACTTTGCTCTGTATCCAAATATAGACTCGATGGATACGTAAATCGTAAAAGAGTGAATGGGGAATAAAAAGAGAGAGAGTATAGAGTACAACATTATTAAGATACAACGCCAGAGATATGCAGTTGACACTTTGCAATATGCTGTGTATACAAACCGCTAAACATTCGCCATGGACCTATTTTCTCTTTTCCTTTTTTGGTGATAGAATCATGGTCAAATAGACCGTTCGTTTAATGGTTGGCCTTCTTCGGAAGCAACCTCGTGGTATGCCTGCATACTACGCTGCCGGAAATACCAGTACATACCCGCCAGGAGCCCGCCCGTAGAGCATAGAACTAGAACGAAGATGAGAAGGCCCCCGACTCCGCGGATGATCTCCCACGCTTTGTAGATGGCTTCGGCCGCCTCTTGGGCCTTGAGGTAAACTTCTTCGGTGTCTTCCGCGTCATCGACAACGCTATCAGTAATGGTTCTGTCCCCATGGAGATCCGATGGGTCGTGGGGTGTTGGCATGGAATTGCCTTGAAAGCCGGCAAGTCGCCAGTTACTCGGGGGTTCGGTCCGTTGAATCTCAGAGGTACCCAAGACGTTTCCGTCCTTGTCCACTGCTTCCACCGAGACCCAGTCCAGATAACCATCCGTAATGTACATCGTCTCGAAGTCGAGTTTGGTGGTGTTGCCTACCAGCACAGGCATCCCGTCCTGATTCGCCCGTGCGTAGAAATTCCACGAAGCAATATCCGTTGCGCCGTTCCAGCTCACGTGGAAAATAGTAGTGAGATCGGTTTCGTCTGTTCCATAGACGGACGAGACCACGTCCGGTGGGGTATTGGGCCGACCAATGAAGTCGAATTTGTACGACCGGTAGGTGGAGAAACGAGAGGAAGCAAACCTAGCTTGCATAAGGAGCTTGCCCTCGGGGGAGTGCTCAGATTGGTATCCCCGTTCACTCCAACCAACGAAGACGTTCCCATTGGACAGTGTTTGCACGTTTCCGCGCAGCCGAGTAAGGCCTCCGTCGGGACGGTTGTATCGCGCAATGACCGTCGCGGTCATCGGGGAAACACTGGTGTGGAGCTGCACGAAGAGAGCACTTGAGGTGTCTTCTTCCTGTTCGATCTCGTCTGAAGCGTTGTTTAGGAACGAGATGGTGGTGTGTGTGGCGTTGGATTCAATAAAGCGAACATGGTGCTGCTTGGAGAATGTGAAATCTTGGACGAAATCAGATATTTCCCCACCAAGCCGCCAGATGATACTTTTATCCTTCCCGGAGATGAGATAGATAGTGTTTGTGAATCGGGCTGAGAGGATATAGTCGCCAGCAGCATTCTTATCGACCGCGTTAACATGAATGTAATCCCAACCAGGCGGGCTAGCAGCTGGTGTTGATGGGTCCACTTTCACAGATTTATCAAGAGGGATGTAGCCTTCTGAGTCCCATTCAAAAATGACATCACCCGTAGCTGTGTCCAGTTCAACCAAACCACCGGTAAAAACCCAACCGTACTCATCGGGACGACCGAGGTCACCCAAATTCATGTACTTGCTTCGATATGTACAAGCTAGAGCCGTCTTTCCGCCGTCAAGGATGTTAAACTCGTGCATGTTGAATGCGGCAAGGTCATTGGTCACTGGAACTGCCTTTTCCGTTTCGTAATGCTGATCCAAAACATATGCGGTCCCCTTCTCATCGCCTTCGAACCGATATGTATGTTGCAAGATAAATGACAAGTGGGAGCCGCCATCAATGTTAGGCACCGCTTTGAAATCAAAGATATTGCGGTTTTCGTATAGGCACGATCCAGCCCAGACGAGAGACTGGATAGATAACGTGAGTCAGTGTTTTTTCTTGCAATCTCAATATTTTCCTATATTGGGTCTCTAGCAAATCACAAGCAATACATTCCAGGTGAACGTACACCGTCTGCATCGTATATGTAGGGCCCAACTTGGCACGGCTTCCATTGCTTCGTCGGGGGCTCCGGGTCAATCGTGCTATAAGGCGCAACGAACCAGTAGCCCGGGCTTACGGAGTCGCGGTCATAGTAGGTGATATCGAACTTCAACGCCCTAACTTGTGGGAGCTATGACCTGTCAGCAGCTTACTTTCAAGGAGAACCGGGCATACGAACTGTCACGAAGGACATAAAATCATCATCAGATGCTGCGACAATACTACGAAAGCAGAGAAAAACCAAGGCCAAGAAGAAAATCATATTGAATGAGCGACTAGGAGTGCTCTCCTGAAAATTAACAAATGAGAGGACGACAAAAGGGGAGAGAAAAGTTCATCTAGAAGACAGTTAGGTTATGAACATAGTCGTCGTCGTCGTCGTCGTCGTCGTCGTCAGCCAACGCTTGTTTGAGCTATAGGAGGAGTACCAGGTACTTTTTTTTTCATTTCCCGTTCTGAGGTTACTCCGTACGGAGTCCGGGCAACACATAAAAGAGAGCATGATACGGGGGGGGGGGGGGAAATAGGGGAGAAGAATCGGCTAAAACCATTCCACAAAGAGGGCTGGCTACTATGGAGCATCTCCAGAAAGATGGTTAAATGGCCAGTGACAACGTAAGTGCTGATATGGGAACTGACGATCGAGCCTTGGCAGCGCAGGACGAGGAGCTGGCGGGCCAACAGGATCTTTAACCAGTCTTTAAGTGGCGGATAGTACGGAGTAGACGGTGGATTCAATACGTACGCAGTACGGTCGATTTCCGGAGAAAGACTGAGCGTCATGTCCTGCTACAGTAAAAAAAGCCACAATACAATACTGTTCAATTCTCCAGTATGATTGAATGGTAGACAATTGCAGGGGTCAATTGATCCTGTCCTGTCAGTTCTCTTGGCGGTGTGTGGGCGAAATTGAAGTTTGAAGACGAGGAAATTCAATTCCCGACACAGAATGCGTGATGAATCGGCAATTTAAACTTGATCCGAAGATCTCAGTGCTTCGAGATCGACAAGCGGAATGTCCCATAGTGTCAGTCAGATAAGTGGGCTCCTTACTCCCTCTACCCAACTCCACACATGAGCTTTGATTCTAATTGTCCTTACGTAGCCACAGCACAGCGTTCTTCCATATCAATACGGCTGGTTGGAATCAATCTCTGCTGGTAGCCCATCGTTTGTATTTCAGATCAGCTTGAAAGAGTGTTTAACCCCCTCCCTTCCCCCTCCTCCAAAGCAAGTGGTGAGGTCTTAGGAGTTAATTAGGAGTCTCGGAGAATCATACATGGAACGAACGGTGGCCCATTTATCCTTTGTTATCCTGGCTTTGATCGCCTTATAAATATGCATACTCTGTAATGTCAGGTTCGCCGAAGCCTTTCGGGGAATACGTAAGAATCTTTGCCAGGGCTACCAGAACGAGTGCTTCGGTTCCCAGCACATCACTTAATTCGAGACTGGTGGAAGCAACTGTTCACAGATCTTCTGGACGCCGATTCGCGTAATATTGTCAGGCCCATCGTGACGGAGTGCGGCAACGGTAAGGGCCCTTGAATCTTTGCGGCTCTTGAGTTGTGCGATATTGGATAAAATTGAGGAGATTCTCTGTGATATCCTAATGTCATTGATGGAGAGGTCATTTGTGACCCTCGATAAAGTCGATACAAGATCGAGATCGGACGGGAGCGAAGTGCTACCTCGGCAAAAATCTGGACCTAGGGCTATTAGGCTCGTAACAACGCAGTACGTGAAACCAGCTATTGACCCTGGCATATTGATTCTCATTTTCAGAGGTTTGCCCCAAACATTGCCTTTTTGAAGATCGAACCGTTACCACGGCGGAAACGCAGCCCCTTGGCAGGAAACGCCCAGTTTACGTTTTAGGAAGTAGTCTCGATATAGGTTCAATTGCTGCTCCTTTCCCTCGCAATGAACCTCTTCTGGCGTACTTACCTAGTTATCTTTTGTTGCCATTACGTCTGTTTTGTGCAATATTTCCCTCTACTTGATCGGCAGCATCGGAAAACATCCAACATGTAAAGAGAAAGGATTAAAATATTTAAATGGTGAACAATCCATCGGATTTCGAAGAAAAAGAAATTGATTGGGCGCAATGCGATATTAGAAGTTTAACATTACCAAGTCAGCGACTAGATAGGTAACATCCCGTCCAAAGAATGCTAGATATGGTTATACTAGGTGCAATTCGGTATCATCTCATTCACCCCAGATGTACAGTAGAAGCTCTCTATCCGCGTTGATAGCTCGCCAACATTTCAATAACCCTAAGGCTCAGTGACGAGGTCCGAGCACCCAAGAGCGACTGTGCCACCCTATAAATGTGTGTTAGACGAGACATTTCTGTCTTTACTTTCTACGCCCTCTTGGAAAGTAAGAACTTACCAAGAGATTGGCTTCAGTGCAGCACTTAGGCCCAGTTTCGCAAGATTTATCCCAGGCATGACCTACATAGATTGGTTAGAAAAATGTACCATCTTCTTCTAATCTTTCCTACAAACACACGCGTGGTGGATAGGGACTTACAGGCTAGGCCAATGGAACCAACAATGCTTGCAGCGTTGATTCCCAACTCCTCCAGAATTGGATCAACAATAGGATCAAGAGGTGTTTTGAGCTCGCCACAGCACAGGTATGGCATGACACAGTTGGCCTCGACAGTTTCACCGGAAGAAGGAAGGGCCGAAGCGATGGCTGCGCCGGAGATGAAGAGGGAGAGCGCGGTAGGGAACTTCATTGTATTTGGCGGCGAAATAGTCTTGCTTGAGAAAATAGATGGAGGGATGGGGAAGTAGCCTTCAAGTCTGAGTCTGCTGGCTTACTGGATGGAAGATGTTCTAGGAAAGTATCTGAAAGGGTTCAGGTCACTTTTTATATTCGAGGTTGACAGAGAACCCCCGGGTAGAGCTCTTCAGCTACGTCGGTCCTTTCCAAAGAAAAAGACATGATGGTCCAATGGTATTCCTAGAGTCGTTATCTCGGATGTGCTGAGAGGTCAGCTTCAGCAGTCGGCATTCAACAAAGTATTGGACCCAAAGAAGTTCCAGAGGCAGATGATTTCCCAGATGGGGTCTTGACCCACAAACTATTCAACTTTGATAAGGGTCAGCTAAGTCCCATGGGACGTATGTAAGAATGTGCCAGGTGGTGTAGTGAGGTGACAGGAACAGTTACTCAAATACTTCGTAGATCCCAGCACTATCGAGATCTCCATGCAGGGACAGAAGTGTTTCCGGTGGGCTAGGTCATTGGTCTTTCCCCATTCCGTGGTACTGTGGAGCCATATGGTATAGATTATCTCTACGATTCGATAGGTATCGCGAAGAGAATGGAGGTCAGAACGAACCAAAGCCGGAACCAAAGCCTACGTACTCCGTATAGTTCGTCGGCTAAGCCCTAAGGAACTACTCCGTAGTACTAGTACTAGTAGTAGTGCAGTCCTATAATAAAGCATCGGATCCTTATCAGTGGAGCCCTCGCATTAGCACCAATCAAATTCAACAACATGCCCGATGATCAGCATTCAGCCCCAGAAGCGAGGGGAACGCATCTGTGAACCTCCATGATAGCGGAGCAGTACGAGCTAGAGCCAAGGTAAATAGGCCGCTCTCGTTGGTCTTTACCAGGCGACCTTTAATATCTCCTCGGTTGTGTGGAAAGAAACAAATATTGGGGGCGAGGAGAGCATTGATAAGGACCGTATATCAATGTGTCATCGTATTTCTTCACCCTTGAGATCGTGTTCGATCAAAGCGTCATTAACAATAGAGCCTCCAGTTCCTGGGTATCCTTATGATTTGAGTTTCTAGCTTTCCCCTTGCCATCTGATCCCCTGATAAGCGTTGTAGATCCGGACCTCTTTACGTAAAGATGAAGAACTAAAGACTATACTTCAAGCAGACTTCAGAGATAACACATATCACAAAGACCCACCTCCACCAGACTGATTCTCGTCCAGTTCTTGTTATCCCCAACAAGTTTGCGGAGCAGAGTATCACTAAATAACCCGAATGAGAAGACTGCTACTGCCCTCAGCTATACGGAGTATACAAGATACGACATGTTTGCAGCTTTTCTCAAGATCTCAGGGGTTGGCTGGTGGTGTGTAAATCGAAAGAATACTGCTAGCTTTGGGTTATATCTTCCAATGTAAATCAAATTTGAATATATGTGAGCTTATAAATATTTTTGTCTCTTTCTTTAGACCTTCTTGCTCTCCATTTCTATTTCAATTTTCAACCTTTCTCTTCTGCCCAGTGTATACAATGGTATATACACACGTGACGTGGCGGTGCAGTACCGACCAAGCCAAGCCTTCTAGCCACAAGCCCACTCGCGACACAAAAACTCAACCCGCAATTATCGATTTCTCCGCCGCTTGTGATCTCACCATCCGCCGAGATACGCTGACGTCTGCGTGGAGATACCTTGTTGTTCAGAAATCGATTTCTAGGATTATTATTATCTCTGGACATCATGGCACCCATTTCCATCGCCGACATTGTGGCGGCCCTGCCAGCGGAGGACACTTGGGGCCCCGCGACCTCGACCGACAATATGCTTGAGGGTGTCCCATATGCTCCTTTCTCTAAGGGTGACAAATTGGGTCGCATGGCCGACTGGACTGCTGAGTCCAAGGACCAAAGAACCGGTCGTCAGGCTTACAACCGCAACTTCAGGGGTACGAGTTAATCGAGACAGTTAAATGCGGGTCCGCAGCTAACATACCTATCATCAACAGACCAGCAAGTGTACGGAGCCGGTTCCTCCAACCTGTTCAGCATCCAGGTTGCTGAAGATGAATCTTCCTTCTCCGTCGTTGACAACACTCGTACCTCTGCCAAGCGCACCTTCGGCCGTGGTGGTGGCACCGTCTTCCGCGGCCGCGGCCAGCGTGGCGCGGGCCAGAGAGGCGGTCGTGCTGGCTTCCAGCGTGTTGGTGCTGGCCGTGGCCAGGGCGATCGCTTCTACGACAACCGTGCCGGCCGCAGCAACCGTGGACGTCGCTTCGGATGGAAGGACTACGACAAGCCGCAGAGGACTCGTGAGCCGTCTGTCAATGTGCGCCCCGACTGGACCATGCTGGAGGAAGTGGACTTCAGCCGTCTGCTGAAGCTGAACCTAGAGACCCCCGATGGCGAGGACATCGACTCGTATGGTTTCCTTTACTACTACGACCGTTCTTATGACAAGGCCCCTGTTAAGGGCGCCGAGCGTAGACTGCAGTCTCTTGACCGTGCTGCCTACAACGTTACTACCTCCCAGGACCCTGTCATCCAGGAGCTCGCCGAGAAGGATACAGCCACCGTTTTCGCTACCTCCGATATCCTGTCTATGCTTATGTGTGCCCCTCGCAGTGTCTACTCCTGGGATATTGTTATCGTGCACCAGGGCAACAAGATCTACTTCGACAAGCGTGAGGGTGCCTCGCTTGACTTGGTAACCGTCAACGAGAATGCAATTGACGCCCCTCTCGAGATTGCCGAATCTTCGGCTAAGCAGGAGGCCATCAACACTCCCAGCGCTCTTGCCATGGAGGCCACCTTCATCAACCACAACTTTGCCCTGCAAACCGTCGCCGAGTCCCAGGATGCCAAGCTGGACATGAAGAACGCCAACCCCTTCTACAATGCTTCGGAGGAGACCGAGCCTCTTGCCTCCAAGGCCTACAAGTACCGTCGCTTCGATCTCTCCTTGGAGCGTGACGAGGAGCCTTTGAATATGGTTGTCCGTACTGAGGTCGACGCCCTCCTGAAGAACCCCGTCAACGGCGAAGACCAGCAGCTGATCGTCAAGGCCCTGAACGAGTTCGACAGCAAGGCCCAGGGCTCCGGCAATGCTCTGGACTGGCGTAGCAAGCTCTGGTCGCAGCGCGGTGCCGTTGTTGCCACTGAGATGAAGAACAACAGCCTTAAGCTTGCCCGTTGGACCACCCAGGCCGTCCTTGCCAAGGCCGACGGTATGAAGCTCGGTTTCGTCTCGCGTGCTAACCCACGCTCCGCCGCTGGCCACGTTGTCCTCGGTGTTGTTGGCTACAAGCCTCGTGATCTCGCCGCTCAGATGAACCTGAACCTGGGCAATGGATGGGGTATTGTGCGCACTATTGTCGACCGTATCCGCGCCCTGGACGCCGAGGAGGACGAGGAGAAGGTCAAGAAGTACGTTCTCATCAAGGACCCCAACCGTCCCGTTCTCCGTCTCTACAGCGTGCCAGCCAATACCTTCGAGGAAGATGAGGAGGCTGCCGCTGAGGAAGAAGAGCAGAAGGCTGAAGAGGATGAGGAGTAAATTGCTTATGATTGAGTTTATTCCTGGCATGATATCGTAATGTCATGATGTTTATTTCGAATTTCCGAATAATTTTTGGTGAACATATTCAAAAGTCTTTTAGAGCTCTGAACATGACCGTTGATGTCCTTAACCGATTTGATGACTTTCCAGCGTCTCTAGAAGGGTTTGCTCTCCAAATTACACCCCGTACTCATAATACCTATTGTTTCTTGGAAGCATGATCACTGTACTCTCAACAATATCCCACTGCCCGTCAGCCTTTTTTTGAATCGCTTAGTATTCTCCCGCCGGACCCCAATCAATACTTAAGACTCTGCGATCAAGACCCGCCCAGTAGCAGGAGAGAAGACGAGACGCTACCGCCGTTGCTTCAGCGGCCTGGGCATGGCTATAACCCGGCGGTAAGATATGTTGACGTACATACGCATTGTGTAGTACAGCAACAACCATCATGAAACCAACTTGTTAGACAAGTAGCGTAGAAATCACAAAGCAGGGTAATGAATCTAAGTAGTGTGACCGTTTCACGATCATTTCGCCCATACCGGACTATCCGTATACATCAGGCTTGTTGATACATTAGGCCTGCAACGACGGACCCACCGACATTTGAGCAAGGAGTACGGACGTACAAGGTAAGCAAAAAAGGGGAAAGAAAGAAAATATGGAAGGACAAAGGATACGGAGTACTCCGTAGACCCACATGCAAAAAGCCAGGGAATGTCCAAATCGATGCTGGGAAATAAAAAGAAGAAATGAAAAGACTCGGAGAAATACAGATCTGAAACACCCAATTCTTAGTCATCATGCTTCACGGGAACAACGGCCGTGATCTAGGTGTCAGTGGATCGAGCTTAATTCGTAGAATGGAGATTAACTGCTGCATGCATTTTTACCACTAAAGATCTTACCAGTCCCTTTTTGCTCAGATAATGACAACTTGAATTTCTCTTCCCCCCCCCCTTTTTTTTTTGCAAGAAAAAGCCAAAAATAGAATAGTGGCAAATACCATGGACGTAGCAACGAGCCACAAATCCAAACCCCGGGCAACGGCCTCATGTCACCCATGTCGAACTCGCAAAGTGAAGGTATGTGTTGTTTCAGATACGATGCCGTGCCCCCGTACCCCCCTACCTGCCTTGACGTCGTCCACTTACAGACGTTCTGTAGTGTAATCGCCTCTCTCCGTGTGAAGCCTGCATCACACGAGGGATCCAAGAGGAATGCAAGTATAGTGCTCCGAATGAAGATCGACAGGCGATCGCGCAGGCAGAAATGATCACCGAGCTCAGGGGCAAGGTGAACCAAATACGGGAACAAATAGCGCAGCGTTTGGCATATCGGTCATCATTCGATGATCTCGAAGAGGAGGAAGAGGAGGAGGCCGCTGCTATGGAGATTGTGTACTCGGCTCTGAGGTTAGGAACGGAGGATCTGGTTTGGCACATCGTGGGGAGGATTCGGAATGGTGAGGATTTAAGAGATTTAGCGAGGGATGTGGCGCGGGATATAGGAATTGAGGATGACTTTTCTGTATGATTATGGATTATAAAGTCGACACTGTCCGATCTGTTATGCACATGTATCGATTGCGTGGGTAATGGCATACCCAGAGCACTGCACTGCCTAATATGCCACACAGTCATGCTTAACTATAGAAAAACAACTGCCATTTTTTCATGACCAAAATATTACAGAGATGAAGCAAGAAGGCAATTCTCAGCCAACGCCGAGTATCAAACAACACAAGGATGATATACACCAGGATTCCACACCAATGCATCAGCAACCCATAGCCGCAAGAAAACAATGCTCACGGAGCTTCTATATACACCCCCCCCCCCCTCCCCCCTTCCCCAGCCCCAAGCCTGGGGTCAAAGAACTATAACTCCTCATGTCATGGTATCATGAATACAGCGTCTCGTCTCCAGCGCGGGAGAAACCCAACTCGACCCTGGACCCGATGACACTGCTCAGGCAGTCCATGAGCTCGAAGTCTTCCACCACAGCTCCAAATCCATAACACCTGACTTTAGTGTTGAGCGTGTCGATTATAATCCTTATGTCATCTCTGGTCAGCGAGCGATACATTTCATGGTTTTTCAAACATTGAAGGGCCATGATTGGTGTGATTTGGCCATCAGTCACAAGCTGTCGACTCAGGTTGAGCAGTGTTGTCAGATTGGCATGTGGAAGATCATATGTCTGGTGTGGGTAGGCTTGTTCATGGGTTGTGTTGGCAATATAACTGGGCGGCGGACAGGAGGCCATTAATGCGTGTCCGGAGAAAGGCATATCTTCGTCATCGGCCTCCGTAATAGATCTTCGACAGAGATAGTCGGTGTGTTCGCGACATGGTGATTCCAACCTATCAATTGATCAGTTATGGAGGGGCAGGAAACGGGAAACGAGAAACGAGAAACAAAAACAGAGCTAAGGGAGAGCGTACGTCAAGATAAAGTCGATTTGCAGCTGCGGATCGTTCTCAAATATACCCGCTGGCTGATTAGGCTGACGACTTGCTGGTGCTATCCGGTCAAGAGTGGCCAAAGCATCGCAGGGAGCAGCATTGTAATTTTGTTGAGGTGATAACTCTTGGGTTGGTGAGACGTCGATGTGCTCTATCCCGTTTACAATCGGGCTTAAGCTAGAAGATGGGGCTGAGATGGTCGTGGGTGGCGTCGTGTAAGCGTGCTGAGTTGATGGAGCTGACTGCGCGACAGCTGCAGGCTGTGATCCAACACTACTGCTGGCAAAAGGACTAGACTGATATGTTGCGTTTGTTGGACTTGTGCGTTCCGCCTTGCGACGTTCCACTTCCGCCTCATAGTTGATGCCATGTGCGGCTAGAATTTCTTTCAATATGTTGTTCTCCTCCGATAATGACCGGACCATCTCTCGATGTTGGTGGACAGTCAAATTCGCCGCGGATATCTCTTGTGTGTAGGCCTCTCGTAATCGCGAGACTTCAGTCTCTAGCCCTCGCATGTACTGTTCCTTGCGTTCGCGATGTGTCCTAAACCGCCACGGTTGATATATAATCACGAGATCGAGTCCGCATTGTCGACATACCTTTGCGCCTGACGATTCAATTCCTGACGCCTGGTAAGAGCCGGCTTGCTATCCGGCTTTGGGCCCCGTCGTTTTGCTGGTTGACCATCTGGATCGGCTGAGGTCAGTACCCTATTACAGACCAAGGAAGAAGGCGCATACCTCGTGTAACCTTTTTTTGTCCACCTCCGAAAAACCTAAACCATTCTGTTCCCATGGACGCCTTCATTAAACTGCCCTGTGATTGTCGACCTATCATGGTCTCGAGTCAGCGACCAAAATTGGGGATCAGACAAATAACGACAAAGCGCAACTGGAACCCAATGATCGCTAGGCAAAGCCCGTGTCTGCTACGTCAAAATGCTGGGAGAGAAGAAGAAAAGAAAAGAGAAGAAAAGAAAAGCATCGTGAGAGATCACATCATTTTGTAGCTGGTTTAACAATATATGAAGTCTAGTAAAGCACTCCGCCTAGCAGGATCGCATTTCGTCTCCAGCGACAGAAGAGCCCCGAAAAACCTCAGGATACTTTTAAAATCATATAGATAAAAACAAGCCACAAATGCGATATCAACGGCATCAAACACTTACCATTGAGTTCATCATTTTGTCGATTCAACGCGTCTGCCTCCAAAGGCAAAACTCCGTCATTCAGGGAAGCCATGATGTTTGGGGGTGTGTGTGAAGAGAAAAATGATGTGGAATGCGACCGGCGTGAAGACGGTAGAAAGGAACGAACGGGTCCAGCGGATTAGGATCTGGATGAGTCTAGAGGCTAGGTTATTATTATGACGGTCATGAACATCTGCGACCGTTGTCAGCCTTGAAACGAACTGCTTCCGATAAAGTGGATTCGCTTCGTCCAAGCGCCCTTACCGTTGGTGGTAAGTATGTACATACATCTATTCGGATTGCTCCCCCCCGAGGCGTTCGATTGTGGATTGAGTTTAGACACGAGGTATAACCCTGGGTGTCCTACTCACACCATGAAATGACGATAGAGGGGAGAGAAATGTAAAGGTCCTGAGAGCTCTAAAGGAGATGTGGGGGGAAGAAAGAAGCGTAAGAAATCGAGACGCACAAACAGAGAGGATGTGGGACAAGGTACCGTCCGTCAGTTGACAATGTGGATGAAGGCTAAGAAATCAGTGGTAGCGACCGCGGTACAATTCGACTTGGAGTCCCTGTCAAGCGGGCTCGATTTCCACCGATAAACTGGTGGCTTATTGGTTCAATGGTTCACCCGTTCTTCAGCGGCCCCAGTTGGCTTGGTCTTTGCGCAAGCTGGGTGGGAAGAGATCCGTTGTTTCTTTCTCCGGTTACTGAAACGACGAATAAAGCCGAATCGCCCGTTTCCTCAATTTGGGATTGCTGTAATGACCAAAAAAAAAAAAAAAAATAGGAACAATTCTTTTTTAGTACATGTTGCTTAGGAATTCGATAGTGTATATTGGTGAAGCGGAAAATCAATAAGTCGATCAGGATGCTAACAGGATGGACGACCCCAGATGGGAAAGAAAAAAAAAATCAAAGAGAGAAAGGGAATGAAATCTCACTATTCTTTCTTGAGTTTGGTTCTAGTAGTTCTCCTGCCACTCGGATCAGAGATGGACTTGCGTATTGAGATCTGATTTCTTTTCAGGTAAGGTATTGTAGTAGTTCAATCTGTACTGGTGTAATACCTACCCACAGGGGCGATCGGCTGGATTGATTGGAAGACTCTGCTCCAAGGAGAAAAAGTAAGCATGCATCCACCCGTGGGGAGGGTAAAACCGGACTCACCATGAAGCCCGAAAAAGAGCATCGATCCCGTCGTAGAGATCTCTCTCCCTTTTCTTTCCTTCATGCGTTCTTTTTCTTTTTTTTCCCCCAAGGAAACACCCCTGAGGCTCCTGCAAGGGCATATAGGGTGACGTCCCTCTCTCTTAGCAAAATATTGATAAGGTATTTCCTGGAGAGCGCTCTACAGCCACATTTGGTATCTAAGCCACGACAAGAGATTGTCGTGAATCAATCATCGCCGCTATATCAATCAAATTCCCCGAAGGATAGCAGTTGCACCCGCCACCCTCTCGTGATTACTACCCTGCTGACGGTGAAACGGTCGCTCAATATTCATTATAGATGTATTGTATGTAAAACAGGCAAATGCAAAGGTCACCCTGATGTGAACTATCTCATATCTCATTCTCTTTTTAGCTTTAGCGCAATGGTTGCCTTCGATGTATAGAGGCAAAGCGTATCGGCGTTTGGACTGATCATTCTGTTTTTCTTTCAAGTGTTTCCGATTAACGAGCCCCATCGTATCCTTAGGGCCATTGAAAGCTTGGGATTCTTTGGTGCCGGTATGGTACCAAGTGGGTAAAGATGGATCCCTCGCCGGGATCCCCAACGCTCTTTCCGCCGACTTAATTGGCACCAGTCACAGGGGGAGACCAAGAAACGAAAGAAAAAAAAAGTACTTCTCGTGCCGAGGAGTCTGGTCGCTCAGTGTAGTTGTACATGCATACATGTCACGCATGGCCTCTGCTGGACTTCTTGAGTACTTACTCCTCAAGCATCGTTTATATTCAGACAATGTGTTACCTCGGAATCCCTTGATCACATTCGATTGGCATTCGTCTCATCTTACCTAGACACTTAGCCGCTGCTTCGTATCTATCCTTGTCAGGGCGGAAATTTTAATTGGGGCTCCAATGTGTACTGGACACTTGGACATAGTATCCCCCTGCCCAAAAAAAAAAAAAAAAGAAAGAGTACCTGTCTAATTGGTTGTGATGGGATGGAGGCCCGGCTCGCAACTCTTTTTTTCCCCCTTCGTCCGCTTGTTATCTCTTTAGTTTAAGCGATGCGTGGAGTAAACAATGGCACGTTTAGATAGATTTCCATGGAGTGGATAGGTGCTATTCTCGACAGCTCGACGCTGACTCCCGGGAAGCATGACCAGGATTGCTGGTACCAACCATGAAAATCATAAGTGTTGATGGTTCCTAGCAGCCGAATTGCCACCGAGAATTCGGCAGGAGATCGAGATGAGAACCAAGAGGATCCAATGTTATTGAACTATTGATGCTGATCTCAAACCCGAAGTTGGCATTTTTACCCTCTTGAGAAGTCACCCCACTTCCACATGACTCGACTGGGCTATACTCCTTTGGGCCTTCGTTCTCTTTTCTTTACAATTCATTATCATTGCTTTTGTCGATCTTCTACTGAACTACCACAATGACAATCAAACTTCCTGCAGGATTCATCTAAGAGAACACCCCACCATGTTGCAGTCATCTTATCCCCTGATGTCATGGAACATTCAGAGATCCTTGTCCACATCGCAGCGCCGTGCGGGGTGAGCGACGACGCCCACTACCGTGCTCAGGTTGAAGCCATTCTCAGCTTCCAGAGTTCCTCATGCCAAATTCTAACTCTGATACCGGGCGACAACAATAATGGCCATGATTATATCACCTCTACCGCTGCTAGCGACGGATTTCCCCGGACCCAGTTGCCACTCAACAACACGCTCCAAGACCCCGTGATCCCTACTAATGATACCTCCAACTTCACGACCAGTATAATATCGAATAAAGCTATCGGGCACGAGGAGCATGAACTGCCCAATGGCCAATCACATGATTTTCCCCTAAAAGACTACCTCGATACTCCAGTGAGTGTTATTCCGGATTCTCAACCCGGAAGACCATCTTCGGACACCGGCAACCTGCAGGATGTCGACCAGCAGCTATCTACCACTCGAGCTCAGGGCTCCTCATGCTCTGTGGATTCAACTCGTGCAAAGCGAGATCAAACAGATTTTTCGCCGCTAAGGGGTGGTCGAAAGAAACTGCGTTATAGCCCGTGCACAAACGACAAAGCTAATGCCAATCAGATCGGTGATTCCGCTGTCCAGTCCACAGCTCTGTCGATATTTGCTAGCACAAGCTTTCCTGTCCCTATGGAAATCAGACCTCCACTATCTCCCATATCAAAAAAACAGTTCACAACACATATCACTCCAACTCTAGAAATGCTAGCCGCTCGCCTGAAGGGTCGAATATACAGGCCTCTCGAACAAATCAGAGAGCTAGACATATTAGAAAGAGGATATTGGTATATTCATATTAACGTTGTGGAGGCGGGGGCGCATGAGCCCATTATCTCCTGGCAGGAAAGCAACGGGGTTTGCATGTGGGACATGTCCATGTTCCGCCGCTTCTGGTCATTCTTGTCGGACTTCGTCAAAGAAGGCCGTGCAGGCTGGGGCGTATGGTGCATACTGGAAGATATGCCGAATGCCCAACCACCACACAATACCCAAAAGTCAGCGCTACGCGAAATGGATATCCGTCAGCTGACTCTCAAAACCTATGCGTGGGGTGAAATAGCTTCTCATATATATCTCCTCCTATTCCTGGCCAGCGAGCGCCGGATTCGCAAGATGGGCGCTCAATGGCGGGATAGTCGGGATGATGTAGTTATTCAGATGCCTTGATAAGGTAAAGTAATTGGTGGCACATAGTACACGAACTATGACGGCGACCCATTCTAAGCAACACCACTCGTATATACTTATAATGACATATAAAGTAATACGGATATATTGAATGCAATGAAGATATACAGAAACTACTGTACACTGTAAAGTCCAGTATTGAGAGCCAAGTAGTTACGGTGAGGCTCGTCACGCAGGCAAGGCGTAAGTAGAAAAAGTAGTTCATTGATCTCTTTTACTTTGGTTCAAAAAGGAAACTATAGTACAATCAAAACGGAGGAGAAAAGAAACAAAGGTGCAAATTTCGAAGTAGATATCGCCATGTTTTAAACCTCGGGCAAGTTTGAGAGTGGTGAAGTACGCCAAGTACAGTGTTGTCGCAAGCTATGGAGGATTTCAATCCATCACTCACGACTATGCAACGCACCAGCGACCAGAAGACAGATAGGAAAGTAAATTCAGTGTGCTGTGATAAAACCAAATATAGTGAACAAGAAAAGCGCAGAGATATTGAACCCAATATGTCAGCCTGAATCAACGAAATGCAGACACAAAACCTGTTGAACGCCGTAGTTCAAGGAAACGAAACATGATAAAGGATAGTTTATGAGAGTTCTCGTACTCAATAGTTCAACTCGCCACTTCCAGCTCCACCAACCGCATCAAGGTCCTCATAACTTTTAAGACTGCGACCCTGAACGGCTTCCCGGGGACCCATTGCTTGTTGGGCAGTGCCGGCTCCCATAGCATCAGCAAACCCGCCTGCTCCAGCAAAAGCCGCCGCGGCTGGGTGGCCAGGGGGAATGTACGGAGTGCCAGCGTTAGCTGGAAGACGACCACCAGAACCATACATGCCCGACATACCGCGAACTGGGCTCAGGCGGCCGTTTCCTGCGCCGCCATGTCGAGGACCACGACGATCATAGGGCCCTGAGCGATTGTAACGGTTATTACGACGCATGGCACCCGGCTGGTGCAGGCCAGAGTGATCCCCCGAGACCAATCCATTCCCGCTCCAAGAACCAGCTTGATTCGGGACACCCATCATACTGGGCAACCCGGCCCCGGGTAAACTCTGAAAACCACCAGGTACATTGCCATTATGTCCGATGTACGGCGGCATGGATGCCAAGCTAAAGCCACGAGGGGTGCCAGCTTGACTCTGACCAGAGCTGAGAGGGAAATGGCCATTGCTGTTTGCATCAGAGCGAGACGGCGCAATACGAGCGGGGTCTAGAACATAGGCATTCACCAAAGAAAGCTGTCACATGGTTAGTCTCGCATCACAATGAGGTCTCAGAACCTGGAACTTACGTCACTGCTGATATTCTCAAACCATTCGGCATGACGCTTTTCTATATGTTTGCGCCAGAAATGGTCCGCCTTGAATAACTTCGTGCACTCAGGTACCTTGCAACGGTATTTGGATTCGTCCTCCTGCTTGACATGCTTTGCTAACTCTTCTTCCAGCGCCTCATCAACAGGCTTGCCGCCCAGCTTCCGAATATCCACGTTATCGGGCTCTAGAAGCTGCAGAAGTTTATCCTCGAATGTCTTAACCCAGTTGAACGCGCGCTGTAGCTGTTGTTCCGACTTAGAACTAAACCGCTGTGGTCGTCTTTCCTCGATGGACGACTGCTCTTCTCCTTCTTCGCTCGGTTCCTTCTTCTTAGAAGGGAAAGGTTGGCCAAGGGCACTCGCTCGAGCCACAGCTTTGGACTGTGTAGTGAGACCAGCACGTGGCCGCCGGAGATGGCCGCCGGGACACTTTCGAGCAAGTTCATGAACTGAGTCACTCTCAAACACACAAAAGAAGCAGAAGTTATAGACCCTACGTAGGTATTCTACCATCAGGTCCAGTTTCTTTTTCTTTGCGAGGAGTTCCTCGTCATCCACTTCGTCATCTTCCCAGCCTTCCTGCTCCTCACCTTCTTCTGCTTCACCTTCATCCATATCGTCCGCGTCATAATCAGTCCTTCTTTTTTTCACACTAACAGGACCCGTGACAGGCGGTTGCAACCATCCCTTTCCACGCAATTCTTCAACACGCTCTTCGATCTTGGCATAACCGTCTGTATTGCCGCCCATCTCTGAGTCAAGTCTTGAAACCAAGCGTCGGGCCAACTCCAAATCCCGCTCAATACGCTCGGGAGCAGAGAACAAGTCCCACAATGCCTTTTTGCGGGGTTGGGACGGCGGTACATGGACACCAACATGACAAACAAAGTCTCCGTGAACCGGGTCGTGTATAGTCTTGTCATTGATCGCTTCAAGTGCCTTTTCGGCGGCAGTCACGCTCACAGCTCCATTAGTAGCCTTATCGTGCTCCATATCCTCACCCTCCTCTTCCCTTCCATCTCCTCTCTCGATGACAGCAACATCCGGAGCAGGATGCAACATAATCCAACCCATCCGATGATACTTCTTGGAAGGATTCGGATCGCTAAGGCTGAGCCATTTGAACCCACCTTCTTGCTCTCCCAAATGTTCTTTACAGAAGTCCTCTATCTTATCACGGCTCACATTTGGTGCTAAGGTTTTGATAAGTAGAGCTGGTTGAGACAAAGCTTCATCCCGAAGCTCTCCACCCCGGGTTGGGAGCAAGTCCAAAACACCAAGAGTCTCACCAACAGCCGTGGTCTCACCTTCTTCCTTCTCAATGACGCCACCTGCTCCATCGCTTTCACTTTTATAGATGCCCTCTAGGGTAAACTCATCAAACAACCCACCATCTATATCACGCTCCCATTGTTCGTAAGCACCAGTGCGGAAGTCCATCAGGCGCCGACGGAGGGGGTCCCGGACTTGCGGCACATAACGTTCTTTAAACCACTCCTCGTTTCGATGTTGCTGTACAAATGTCCTGGCCATCTTAATCTGAAGATCTACCTTGTAGGCATCATAAGCGGCCTGGATCTGCGCCCTCTCCTTCTCCCGGTCTTCGCGAGCTTCGCGTTCTCCCTTAACACGGTCCGAGGGGCGACGTCCACCATGTTTTGCGCGTTCCTTTTCCTCCTTGATCGACTGTTCGGCGCGCCACCACTCCGCAAACCAGTTAAACCCGACTTGGAAATCAAGATTCAGGGGATTGGGGAGCGGATTGGTTGGGATTGGTCGCTTTCCCGAATCTTGTCCAGGAACGTAACGATCGATATTTGCAACATTTGGGGAATGAGCACGGCGACGCTCATCACGATCTCGTACGGTGTGTTCACGGGATGCGGTGTAATAGTCATCTCGGGAAGCCCGGCGATCAGAAGGTTCATAGCGGTCAATCATAGCAGGCGAGCGGGAGCGGCCACGTCCACGACGACGGTCCTGAGATGCTACAGCAGCTTTAAGGTTATGCAATGTTACTATGAAGCGATAATTGGCCCACTAGCTACTTACTAGGTGACCTGCGTCTATAAGAATCAACTGGCGCCCTAGACGCGTAAGGGTCCCCTTCACGGGCCCTTCCGGGAGACCCATAACCATCATAAGAATCCATCTGGAAAAAGAGAAATCACAGGTCGCTGTATCAGAACCTGCGAGTCCAGTCCAAGATCACGGTCAAAATGATGTGCGACAAGGATGTCGATTAATGGGTCGATCTAAAGTAGTCGGGGCGGCCGGAAGGTTCGCAGTGTTGGAAACCGTAAACGTAAGCTAAGACCGGAGACCATTAATATTAGAGCAGATCATTTCACTTCACAGGGGTGTCTGGCAGCTTGGACGTTGACGAAGGGTAAAAGAAACGGGATGTGCTGTAAAACGATGAAGCTGGAGCTGAAGCCCAACAAGCGAAAAATGGATGCAGAAAAGGCATATTTTTTCCCCATATAATAACAAGAATTGACCCGAAAAAAATGAGATGTAAGAAAGCAGTGCGCTCGCGAGAGCTAGAGAAAGAGGATAAAGAAAGAGACGGGTGCACAAATTGCAAGAAGCACTGAAGGTCTCGTGGGCCAATGAGGGCGCGACGAACGAACCGACGACTTCAGAATATAGGAGAAAAGAGCAGTGAGCGGAGTGGATGTCAAGGATTGGTCTAAGGTGGTGTGTTTTGATAGAGAGTAACAAGATTAAGCAGGGAAAGGGGGTTAGATGAGAGACAAGGGTGGCAGTGACTGCAGTGAACACGATAAAAGAGGGCTAGACAGGCGACCTACAAGAAGCCTTATGAAGAAGGATGGATGGATGCAATATAGCCAGATGCGAACAATTCCTGATCACGTCCAATCCGAATGGGGACAAGATGGCTGAACCGGGGGATAGAGCCGGACAGTTGGGGGAGAGGAAGCGGAAAGCTGGGAGCTGAAGGCGAGTGAGGAATGGAATGAGAATGAGAATGACTAATCACATGAGGCTGGAGAACGAAAAGTTGGAGGACGGGACAGCCGCTCCTAAACCAGGATGGGTTAGGCGTGTGTCAACTGGAATGGATGGATCTCTTTCTATGCCTTGGGGCGATTTGACATAATTACCTAGGTACTACTAGGTCTTCTACTATGGAGTTATTGTCCCTGGAAAGTCTCCGTATTTACCACAGCATATAGTTTCCATAAGTCGGCCTTAATGGGTCAAGTCTACCAATTCTAATTGTATTCACAAGACAGCTATTTGTCAAGTGCCGAGCCATTGGCCCAGACATTCAAGCTAGCAATGCCGAGAAGTATGTCTTGATATTTGTACACGACTAGGGGGGGAATCATCCGTCAAAAACCACATGAGAACAATACAAACAACCCATGATAGGATGAGAGGGTGAAAAAGAGTAAGGAAGAAGAAGAAGAAGAAAAGACCATAGAACAATGAAGGGGAAGCGAATGAGAACCGACAAGATAACGGACACGATGCTCAACCACCTTTGGACCTTCTTCCTTCTCCCTCTTCCTTTTTTCTTCCTCTTTTCGGGGTTTATTCCCATGCCTCCATGATACCGTAACCAAATGAAACTCACTGTAGGGGGAAAAAGTCCACAGCTGTGCTCCAGACATTCACAGTTCGCGTCCCTTAGACGACACTATTAAGGGACGCCAACCTGTTATACCTTATTGCTTCGCCATGAGAATTCCTGTAGGGTAATTTTACCAATGTTAGATTCCTCTCTATGTCCCACCCAGAAGCCCAATAAAGAGAATTCAAAAGGCGGGGTCAGGTCGAAGGAGAAAAGTAATGATGATTGCTGCAGTATGCGGCAATATTTAGTGGCATTGGAACTATGCCAACTTCCACGTAACTGCGTCATAGTAATATCTGGGCCGACAACTCATCTCATAATCACCCTTCAGGAGCAGGATAATCAATGAGAGTAGAGCTGGATTCGGCATATAGCTAAAGGCATGACGTGTTTGGCATCATAGATCATCCAAGAGTTTCACCATCTCAAGAAAGGGGAATGGTGCAGATAGGAAAAGAAAAGCAAGAAAAACAAGAACAAAATGAGAGGGCCATCAAAACATTCATTCCATACATGCGTTCCCGGTAAAGTAAACATAAACAGGTTTCTTTGGAAAACAATAGGAAACTTCGTACCAACATAACATAACGATATAAACAGACATAACACTGGTTGCTGTCGGATAATGGTAGTAGAAACGTGATAGGTGAATAGTCACACATCGCTCGCTACAAAAGAAAACATAAATAAATCCATCCATAAAATCATAAGGATGAATAGGTACGAAGAAAAGAAAGAAAAACAGAAGCGGACAAAGATGCGCTAATAATATGGAAAGCAATATTTGCCTCGACATATTGTTCAACCATCTTCATCAGATGGTTCGGCGGATTCATGTTCACTCTCCTCAGCGCTGGTGCTCGTTTTCGCGGCGCTAGTCTTCGCTTTCTTCGCTGAGTTCGTGTTCTCATCGTTAACATCACTAGATTTTCTTTTCTGTGCCGACGGAGGGTTCTCACCGGTCGGCTTGCTATCGATATTCTCTTGCCCACCCGCGGTATTTTTCTTCTCCAGGTTAGCGACTTCATCTGCCGTCAGGAATCGACCACCAGGGCCGCGTGGCCGCCGCATGGCATGATTATGACGCGACTCATGCAAATATGGCTTACGGCCCTTGGACGTGAGTCGGAGTTGTTCCTCCAATTTTTGTCTAGCAACGCGCCGTTTCAAAATGCGGTGGAATTGCTTTGCATTGACGTAAAGAGGGGACTCCTCTACGGCGCCAACAGCCATCTCTGGGGAAGGTTGATTTTGCTGCACCGCAGGCTGAGGTGGGGGCGGCATAGGTGGAGGTACTGAAGGCCGACCAACATGACTAAGGACCGGTTGAGCAGTTTGAACATGGGGGCTACCCACATGGCTCATGCGACGCTGCTGCATCTGAGCATTCTGTTGCATCTGTACTTGCGAACTCATGGAAGGCATTTGTCCTGGCATCTGTGGTGGAGAGCGTGGATTCCGCTCGTTCTTCACCTGTTGCACTCCAGCCATACGTGGCGAGCCACGAGGCCCTTGAGGCATTTGGCCAGCCATTGAGTCCTGATGCAGTGGGTAGAATTGTCCAGACGCCGCCGCAGTAGCCATAGCAGCCGCCTGGGTTGGCGAGATGCCATACGTCTGGGGCATCGCTGTAGTTACCCCGTACGATTGAGGAAAGTTCATCTGCTGGTGTACCGAGCCCGGCGCATTTTGTGCCTGTTGGTAGTGAGGCTGCGATGGTACAATGGGAGATGCCTGATGCGTAGGATGGGCTTGCTGCATATGTGCCTGGGGATTGGTGGGAGAGGTCATCGAACCCACCGTTGAGCCTGGGTTCTGGGGTGCGGTCTGATACGGGGCAGCGATGTGGGAGGGGGCATGCGGGTGTTGGCCATGAGGCTGTTGATATTGTGGAGGGTATTCCATCATGGAGTCGCGACGGCGCTTCCCGTCACGCTTCCAATGAGTCCCGTGATTGGGCTGATGCAGCTGTCAGGCACCAAGTATATAGAACCAATGGCAACGACGGCTGCGAGCAATTGGTGGATATACGCCACCTATTTAGAATAAGGTAGAAGAGATCAAAAGGATGATAGGGTGTGGAAGCGCTGTTGCACTCAAGGAATATCACGGTCGCGCACAAGAGGGACAGCCGCGGAGAGTAGCTGCTCTTTGCAAGTGATGATTCGACGAGTTAAATGCGGAAGTCTGCAGGCGCTCACTAAATGTCAGCACGGAGCGCAGCGCTGACCGGTCACTGGATCTTGCAGTGGGGTTTGATGGGGACAAGGCGCTTGAATCGGGCGCTTACCAGGGGTTCTGTTTTGCCGATACAGAGTTCAACTATCGGCGAGAAAAAATATTTCACCCAAAATCAACGCCTGTTTGCCGAAATAACTTCGAACAATTTCTGGAGACGAAGAGTCTTTTGTGCGAATCTTTTTTACGTTCACCTCAGGGTGTAACGTGGTTGGGCTCTAATGCAGCGGACCAGGGTGCCCTCGGCAGTATGTCGCACTTGATGCGTTGTCAGACGAAATGCGATGCTCTTGCTAATGACGCACGATCGTCTATCGCCAGCACGAGGCAATCAAGGGAGGGGTAGAAGCAGGGGGAAAGAAATAAAATAAGCTACGCAGTGTTTGAGATGACAACTGGCAGGCTACCTTCCGTAATATGGTCCTGATCCTTGTTCGATCAGGCTCCTCGACCACGTCCGTATTAGGCGGGGCTGAAACAGAAGATAGCGATATGAGGCGGTGCTACCAGCGTGGCCTAGCAAATTTTTGCGCCAGGCGGATGAGGCTATCCTGGCTCCCAGTCCCCACGACTATATTGCGACTCGAGAATGGACCGATACCAAAACAAGCCTAAAATATGGTCTGCACGACTAGATCAAACTACAGAAAACCATCAGCATTCATTTTCTCCACCAACTAAAACTTTCAGCTGCTGATTTGTGCGCTGTCATGGCAGGTAGTCTGGGCATGTGGTGGGGGAGGGGAAGGTGATATCGTGGCTGTTTAGTCTATTCAGGGCTGAAGGATGTATGCGTTGGCAAGCGGGAAGTATGATGCAGCCGGCAACATACCTTGACAAGATACGACGCAATCACCGCTGGGTGCAAGGGAAGCGGTTGATTTCACGCGCGCGTAAACAAACGGTCCTAAACAATTCGAAAACTGTTTTCCAGTTCGCGATGTTAAAGGGCCTGCGCGCCTATGGAGAGGACTGAGGTCGTCAGAATACGGTGCGCAAAACAAAATTAGATAGAGTGCCGACGCGTGTTGATTGGACCATCATGGGGTGGGGAATATGGGATCATAATAGAAGCAGAACGCGACGACGATAAACATGGAAAATCGAAAAGAATAGGCCAGCATAGAACCCTGGGGGGTCGTAAAATGGAATATACTTTGAATACATGCGACATAACTGTCGGGTCATTGTTTTGCTTTGCAGATGGGTAACAAGGTAGATAACGAGGTAAAAACGATCCCGGTTTGCAGGCCATTTTTAGGGTCAAGGGCAAAACAACACGGGTCACGTTGAAAGGCTATTATTTACCTGAACGGCGGAAGAGTATCCCTACACCAAGTGATGTAGGCAAAAGGGATGCGATGGGACTTGACCACAGCCTCCAGTCACGGGAGGTTCTGGGAGGGATGATGATTCGCGGGGTGAGGAGAGCGCGACCTCTACCAACAGGACGGCGGGCAGCACAAAGCTGATTCTGCGGCGCGAGTGTGGGCTGCCGCTGATGTCAGTCCGGTCCGGATTGATCCGTGAACGGCCCAACAACAGGTGAACCAGCTTTTCAGCTCTGGGCAAGCGCGCGCTGTTGTAGGTGGAAGACAAAACAATATGGGGAAACAATCGCAAGCACATACAAAGCAATATGATTCGTGGGGTAAAAAGACAGGAGGGAGGATGGAAGCCAACAACGAGGGGGTAGAATGGGCGCGCGGTAGTTAGAGAATACAACAGGCGCAAAAAGTGATGGGATTTGTCGGAGTTGACCTCGGGAAGAGGGACAGTGTAATGGGATTGGGTGCAGACCAGAATAAGGTGCTCAAATCATAAAGCAGGATCAAGCATGAAAATGATAAGATAAAACAAAATGGAGTCAAGTCAAAACAAAACCACACAATGTTGAGCAAGGGGCAAGCAATATTCCACGTACCTACGGACGATGATTCGACCACAACCGTGGAAATTTCGAAATGAGAATGATCGGGAGTGATCAATCACGAGGAGAAAACAGATGGGGGGTGGGCAAGAAAACAACGATTGGGTTGGACGAAAGGATCAGTGATCAGAAGCCAACCCCAGCGTGAACGAGTAGGAAAAAAAAGAAAATGGCAGATGGCCAATGGGTTCTGTGCGGCCAGTTAAGTTGATGACTGGAGGGCACGCAGGGACTGGAGATGGCTGGATGACCAACGAGAGGAAGCAGAGAGAGAAAGCCGCAGCGACGAGAAGGGGCGGGCGATGGGGCATTTGTACCGGACGCGTTCACTGACGAGCTGACTGGCTCGGCGGCTCGTTTAGCGGTCGAGGCGGCGAGGCAATCAGACCAACCGACCGATTCATAGATGGCCCCGTACGGTTCCGTATTGTCACCGTGCATGGCCCCACTTTTCTTTGATTTGGTTTATGTAAGATAGAAATATGGGAAACCATGATTTTGATTATGGATTGGTTATCAGTATTTAGTAGGCAGTAAATATTGATACTCAACCATGAACAAAAATTTCATAAAGCATTCACTAGATGCCACCACAATTTTTTTTCTCTAAAATATTAATCGCTCCCCAAGATACATGTAGGAATAAAAATGACTCAAGGTTTTTTTTTTTTTTTTCTTTCCTTTTTTTTTCTTTTACCCTCTTTCTTTTATCACTTTCTTGTATGCCGTTGTATATCCGGCCATCCCGAATTTTTGTGACGCACATCATGTGCAACCCAGAGCCGGCGAATCGCCTCGGGATTTAACCCTGTCAGTGACAAATCTACCAGCCACCCTCATTGGTTTCCAAGGAACGTCGGTCCGTTTTTACGAATTATGCAAAAGCACGCTGACAGGAGGATTACTAGTAGTTCTACTACTTTTTCCTAGGAGGCTTCACAAATAACATGTCAGAAAAGGAAGTTTTTATCTTAATACTGATAGTGGGAATTTCTAGTAGTTCATAGCAAGGACTTCTACACGTGCAACATCTCTTATAAATAATGTCTTGTTCCTACCCACAAGCGTTATTCTTGAGTCGTGCTCGATACTGTATAGACTCACTCTGATCAGAGTCGTCTACTACAATTTTTATTACAGGATCTCGGCGGATCTCGTGAGAACCTGGAGCTTCGGCTACATTTCTAGATTAGGAAAGACACTCGGGCAAATAGAACTTGGATGTACGTAGCCTGCGTATCAGCAATGCTACTATCACTTGTCACTGAGTAGTAACATAATGTTAGACTGCATGGTCATAAAACAACTGTACAGTGATGGGTAGGTACGAGACAAAATCAGAACCACCCGGGGCCTCTATGAAGAAAATGCCATTGATTCTTACCTAGCCCCAAAAAGAGAGAGATCATGAAAAAATAGGTGGTTTGATTAATTTCTACTCCGTGGCCTGCATTGACCCCTGTAGATGGTAATTTGAGGATACGAGGCAAAAACTCATCCGAACACACGGTATAGGAACCGCCCCAAGAGAATATATTATAATATTAATGATAATGACGATATGTATGAAAAGGACTTTTGTTCACCTACACCGATATTTTCAAGTTTTACAGTGGTTGCGAAATGGTCCTTACAGCTTGTCGAATACACCAATTTCATTTTCCGTGCTCTTTATTTTTCTCGGGTCTATTGATCCATTCATAGGATTGTGAATATCATATTGATACATTAGACGGAGCAAAGTCGCTTAACAATACTTGCTATAACCAGGTTACGCTAAAGCTTTACTTGCTGTACGGAATGTGCCTGGAGCTTCGTTTATCTACCAGGAATATTGTATATTCCATAGGAAAAGTAGCTTGAGTGCGGATCTGTCCCACACCACGTGTGAGAATTTAGCCACTCGATGCACGGATTTGGTGTCAGGTTCCGGGCAATTTGTATGGTGGAGAACAGTATCTGTATTATCTATATCGAGATACGGAAGAAGTCCTGGGCACCTTTCTCCTCCAAGCATCCATTTTATCATGCTAAGTCATTAAATCAACCTGATTAATGTGGGCCTCATACATTACAGTATCTCACTAAAAAATATTTACAATGTACCCATGCTACCCATATGAGCTAGGAGTTTGTGCGTGGCTCTGGTAGCCTGTATAAATACGAAGCACTCAATGATGTACGTGGTATGTATTTAATACGCTGTACGGGGTATGTTCATGATAAAAGCTCTGGCCATCTGACGTCAAACGTACTCGAACTTCTGAGCACACCGCTTTTCAACAGCTCAAAGTTGCGGGGCACAAAAGTCTGTGTCTGGTAATATCACTGTAATTATGGAAGTCCTTCAAGTATAACTGTACTGAGTAGCTAGTTAATCAGATTGGTAACGACTCAGCCTAGAATAAAGTTCCTTCCTGAATTATGGAAGCAGTAATTATTCGCAGTTTAGGGGCCGATTGAGCCTGGCCTAAGCTTCAGAGTATGGTACGTCGGTTCCCCACGTTGACATCAGTCCTAAATATAACCTACAGTGCATAGCTTTAGGCCAACAATGCATCACATTCTCACGCCGATCCCTGCTGGTATTGATCATTTGTTTGGGCTCATTTACCGCTCGTTTATTTCATCTCCTCTCCTTCGATTCAGCATTAAAGATCAGCTTCTCAATCTCGAAATACATTGCTCGCTGGTTCCACCTCCTAGTCATTGTGTCATCTCTCTAGTTCTGATATTT